AGCACTCTCCAGTGGCCCAAAGCTTGGAGCAGCGTTGGACATGGTGCGGCACAGAAAGGACCACTTGTGTTTCAAGCCACTGGTGAATGCCGAGAAGGCAGCCTGCGGTTGAGATGACGCAATGACGGTTAGGCGCTCCAGCTGGCCTATCCAGGATTGGACTTTGCCCTCGACATAGGATTGTAGGAACTCAGCAGTACCAATTGCAGCACCTAGGTAGCGACACCCATCCACACGAATGGTCACCCCAGTGTCCCTGAATAGCTCCTGCGCCAGCCCGAGGACTGCCGGTTTGACGAGGAGAACAGATTTACTCGGGTTCAGGTGGTATCCGTACAAGGGACCTTTGGTGGTCAGCGCATCCCACCAAGCCCGTACCTTCACTAACTTTCCACCAGCACTTGAGTCATCAGCAAACCAAGCCTGCACCGTCCCCTCAGTCGCCACAGACCGCAGCAGGGGTAGGACACCGAGAGCATAGAGTGGCATCGCAATAGGGTCTCCCTGCGTTGTACCTTCACGGGACCGTATCACCTCTCCGCCGACAATTAGGTTGGCAGGGTGCCGGTACGTATTGATAACGATAGCAGACATAGCCGGGCAGAGGTGCTGGATGTTGTGAAGACATGCTTCGCGGTTTAAACGGTTAAACGCATTGGAAGCATCCGCCATCAACAGCGCCTCTGTGTCGTCATCGTCGAAAACAGTCGTCATGGCATGAACGGCTGCCTCAATGCCACTCTCATGTCCAGCGCAGACCTGCAGACTGCCTGCAGCCTCTTGGATATCGTCCCGTATCATAGACAGGATGGCTTTGCCAAGTATACGGCGGAGAACTTCACCAATGCCAATTGGCCGAACCCCGGGATTCTTATCCAAAGGTATAAGCCGGCAAGCAAGGTATGCCTCCAGAGACGCGGGATCGACGAATGTTGTTGCCAGCCGGCGGGCACAGGTAGCCATTGCCTCACAGAGCTCACCAGAGGCACCTCCAAATCCGGTGCACATGCGCCTCCAGGTGTCAGCGTCCACTCCCGACGGGCCTGCTGCTCCATGTGTATTTAGGGCAACGCGGCGGACGACATCTCCAGTTAATGACTCAAATCGGACCGGATGTGGTCGTGGAGGTAAAACCCCTTGAACAATAGCGTCCGGATGGGCGGGTTCTGCCGGCGGGTGCTTGGCAGCCAGAATATCCCGAACAGTTACGCCATCGACTCTATCGTCCAGGTTCAAAACACCGCCTCCGTTGTCCTCTTCCAGTTGTGCGAGGGCCGACCTGAGTTTGCCATCAGTTATCAGGGATGCAAACTTTCTGGCAGTGTCATCATGCCCAGCGCAAGCTTTGTCCTGTCGCCGCTGGTGGGATTCGATCTGTTTGTGTATGGTACGGCATTCTTCTATTAAATCAGAGATGGCACCTGCTCGCCAGAGTTCGAGACGGCGTTTGAGGCACTTCGCAAAGGCTGATGGCGGGGCATGGAAAGGTTTTTGGAGTAGCAGCATCTGGAAGAGCATCGCTACCTTAAATCCCTGACACCGGAATGAGGAGCCATTGCCAAATGCAAGGAGGTATTGGCTGAGTAGCTGAACAAATTCCTTTCCGACGGAGCCACTGGGTACGTCAAAGGCGTTCGGTCGAAAGTGAACCGCTTCGTTGTATGCGTTGTCAATGGCAGTCGCACAGTCTTCCGCGGTCGTGGTTCCAAGAGTGAAATTAGTTTGAGGCCACTCGGTGTATGCAGGTATATCCGTGGTGATATGTTGGGAGGTGCGTACATCAGTGTCATGGTCACCCTGGTTGTCAGGCTGTCCTGGTAGAGATGCAAGAGACTGGCTGGAGTCGATGGAAGCTAAGAGTTGCGCTGCCTGGCGGTCAGCTTCATCATCAGATAGCGATGCAAGCTGCAAGCTGCTAGCGGGTGCATTTACATCTACTGCTGCGCGGCACTCTGCGAGTAGTCCGTCCGTGAGGTGTTCAGCCTCATGACCCGTGCTGGAAGTACAGGAACTCTGGTTTCGACCCGTTCCAGGCTCGGCAGCCTCGGATTCTAGCAAATCCCACGCTAGCTGTTGCGAGCTGGTAACGCTGGGTGCTGAAGGGACAGCGTCGAGCACCGCAGGGGGAGGTTCCTCCGTCGTGGCTGCCCTCGCTGTCTGGCTCCGTGCGATCGTCGGTACACTACATGTTGTACTATTAGTACTACTATTACAACTATCCTCGAGCAGGTCCCATGCATGTTGTTGGGAATTCGAAATTTCGGTACGACTCGTACCTGCAGCTGTTCTGGTCGGCAGGCGCGGGGACAGTGCCCCAGCAGGCCCAGGTGATTTGGGAACGTGACGTACCGTTTGAACTCCTACGAGTACGGGGCTGCGCAAGGCAGGCAGTGGCGGCGCGGGAGGCGCGGCTGGAGCAACTGTCGTTTGGGGCTCGGGTGCTCGATTTTGGCAACGATCCTTCGCCGAGGGATAGCAGTTTGTGCAATGGCGGCCAGCCTTGGTGCATTCGCATCTGACACAGGTGGATTTGCCGTTGCACCGGCAACATCGTCCACTACTCTGCATCAGGCACGTTCGACAGGCGCACGGCCGCTACACAGGAAAATTCCACATCGACAGGAGCTTCAAAATCTGCATCCGACCTCAAACTACTTTCAAAATAGCCGTCATGCAGTTTGTGCACAAAATGAATGGCGCGTTTACATGACGCATTGCGCTTGACCCGGGTTGAAAAAATCAACCCGGGTCAAGAAAATCGTACAAACGTACTTCTGTGCGTATCTCGCGCCAGGTTTGAACAGCACTGCACATGCAAACGGATTCACGTGACCATACAGGATTCTAGAAGTGGACTTTTGGCGGCATATCAGTATTTGACCCGGGTCAACTGTCTTCATGTAAATGCTCACCTATTTTGTCTATCGTACATACTTTCAACCCGGGCTGAACTCAACCCGGGTTGAAATTTCTCATGTAAACACAGCCTAGTATCAATATGATATGTACTGCATTAAAGTCAACAAATATTCGGCGCATATTAATTATTTTCGGCTATTTTTGGCCTTGTCATATTTGGCGGTAAATGTTGTTGCGGCCGAAATTTTGTTTTGCAAGGTTCAGTGCGACAGTCAGCAGCAGTATAGGCCGACAATTTAATGTGGCCAAAATTTGTTTTAGCCCTGGGAGGCCGAAATTTATAGACTTACATTATGGTGAGACTCAGTGCCTGACACTCGACACGCTACCTGGCAAAACTCACTGCGATAGGTTCTTACTGTTCTGTCGGTAATGTGCATCAAAAATGGTTGGTGATCACTAATCAGTGTAGCACACACGGTTCAGGTCAGGGGTCAAAACGTACAGGGATCTAGGGAGACGGCACGGGTGCACGGGTGGCTGTACAGCCAGACCTCGCATAACCGCACACATCCGTTTTCCACGAAAAATATCCGGATAGGCGAGGGAACCGGATAATCGAACACACATACTGTATGTATGCATGGCATGTGCTGTAAATCGGTAACCAGCAATTTTCTTCCGGATGGCGAGGGATCCGGATAAAAGAGGACCGGATAAGCGAGGTCTGACTGTAACACTGGATGCTGTGGGTTTCGACCCGAGCTGCCCTCGTATACATGTAGTGGTTTCCCTTGGCCAATTGGGGCAGGGCCGAATTGTACAGGCGCTTGCACATCAGTGCATACCACACCTATCATCATGTTGAACTTCCAAGTCCGGGTTGATGACAGTTACGAACCTGTTGATAGATTTGCGACCTGGCACTTTCGAATACACTGACGCCACGCACAAACTGCCGGGTACCATATTTTCTCTAATAAGAGCCCGGGGTTCTTATGATTTCAGTGACAGCTACTATCAGATACTATGCTATTAGAGACTGTGCTTTCGTTTTTCCAATGCTCCACTATCCAGCCAATTCCAGTTTAAATAGGCATAAACTGACCATATCAAGACCGATTTTCTCAACCCTAAACCCAGGAATATTGTCCAAAACTGATCTTTGGGGCGCCACAGGAAGGAGATAGGAGACCGAAAACCTCCTTGGCGTACTGTACTGCTATTTTATATGCAGTCAGTATACTTGTTGCATGCTCCAGTTGTGACCAGATCCGTGCTACTATTAGAGACTGTGCTCTTATTGTTTCAAACAGGCCTCACCCCGGGTCATTATTGGAGACTGGGCCATTATTGGAGACCTGGCTTTTATTAGAGAGAATAATTATGGTATGTGACTTTCGATTGTGCGCGCACACACACGCAGCCACACACACACACACACACTTGTACTTGCTGAATACCAACAGTGGTCATGTGGGTCTCCCTGGGAGAGGGGAGAGAGACACCAAAGGAATCTTGGAAAAATGACTCAATTGGCTATTGAACCGCCCAACTGCCGACACCCCCTGAAATCCCCAAACTCATGGGTGGACTTGGAAATGATCCCACTTATGGGCTCACCACACGTCTGTAAGCAGGTGAGGAAAAGGTACAGAAAAAAGATTGACGCCATCAGGGAATCCGTCCCAGGATCCAACTGCAGTTATCCTGCCCCCCCCCCCAGTGAAGGTAATACTTGCACACGCACACACGCACTTGTACTTGTTGTTCACTGCCAAAACTGGTCACGTGGGTCTCCCCGGGAGAGGAGAGAGAGACTCAAAAGGAACCTTGGAAAGATGACTCAATTGGCTATTGAACCGCCCAACGGCCGACACCCCCTGAAATCCCCAAAACTCTGGGTGTACTTGAAAATGATCCCACTCATGGGCTCACCACACCTCAGTAAGTGGGTGAGGACAAGGTGCAGAAAAAGGATTGACGGCATCAGGGTATCCGTCCTGGGATCCAACTGCAGTTACCCCTGCCCCCAGTGAAGGTAATACTTGCTACTAGTGTGGGTGGCTAAATCAGAGTGGATCTGATATAAGCTTCACTAGCACCGTTGATTACACAAGAGTTAATCTAGCCAGAAGCAGTCCATGGGTAACAGGTAACAGGTATGTATACTTCAAATAGAAAGTATATGAACCCTGAAACCAACAAAGGTGGCAGGTACAACATTACACCTTCAAGTAGCCGAGCCCGTTGGCAACAGACCTAACACAATCAGGCATACGTGTACCCACCAACCGAACTAGCTGACACACACACACACACACACATTCCTTCTTCCACTGCCATGACTGGCTATGTGGCCCCATAAGGGGCAGACGAGCACACACACACACACACACACACACACACACACATACACGTGTCGACTTAATTAATCGCCAGTTGCTGAAGTCTACAACACTGAAACACTGTGAGTGAAGACAGAACACTTCAACAGACGTTGGTGGAGACCTATACTGTAGCCACATAGTGAGTACACACATCCATCGACCGGCTTCTATAAAAACTCTAGTTGAGAAAATATTAGCTTTTAGTATCTCACGATCGCCAGTTGATTTGAAGTTCAGATGAAGTTTGATGGATTCTTGGGAGTCGTAAAATACCTCTCCCTGACGAATACTAGTACTCGACTGTAGTTGTTTCCCGGGCACTGCAAGTTAGCTAGTACCAAGGAGTGATGTTCTGCTGGTCCCAGTATAGAACCGGTCCGACTTAGACGTGTATCATACATCAGTAGCTGAGCACTGAGCAGTCATGATGACATCGCTAGACACAATGTCGCCCCATCATGCCATGCATCCAGGGATCGGTGCACACGATGCTGATCAAGCGGCAGGTCAGAATGCCACACGTCGAGTATGCCGGAGCACTGCATCAATGTACAGTGCGCTGATCGTACGGCGTGCATCTTACATTCATGGCTGAACAGTCATGACATCATCACTGATGGCCGTGATGTCGGATCAATGTACATGACTGTACAACGCTGATCGAGCGGTAGGTCCCAGTGCCACACATCGAGCATGCCGGAGCATCGAGGGATCAATGTACAATACGCTGGTCTAGCGGCAGGTCGGGATGCCACACGTCGAGTATGAGCACCGTGCGCTCGTGCTCGCCCTCGTTCCGCACCTCGTGCTCCCAGGAGTCGTCGAAGACGATGGCGCGTCCCGGCGGCCACGTGTGCCAGGCGTCGTCGACGCGAATGCGAGCGCCGCCGCGATGGTGTAGCGTCAGGTGCACGCGCAGGCGCTCGTTTGTCGGTCCCGTGTGCGGCCGGATGTGCGTGCCCGGCAGGATGCTGGAGAACTTGACGCTGGTGAAGTCCTGCCGCATGGCGCGTAGGTGCGCGACCGTCGCCGGAAAGTGCGCGTTCGTGTCCGCCAGCCAGCCGTTGCCGGACGACTTGAGACGTAGCTGCAGCAGTGCAGGCGTGGTGCAGACAGAATACACAGGCATATATAATTACAGTCGTCCCTCTTTAATCCAGCACTTTATAAACCAGCACCCTCCATAAACCAGCACAATTTCCAGTAACCAAAAAGTCCTCTTCATGAACATTGCATCAGAAAATCAGATTTGTTAATCGAGCGCCCTCCGTAATTGTAGAGAAATCCAGCAGAATTTCCGTAGCACAAATGGTGCCGGATCATAAAGGGACCACTGTCCACACAATGCTCAATGAGATCCGATCGAGTCACTCAAGTACGCGCCGGGTGTTGCGCAGCCCTAGACATGCGAACACTGGGCTGCGAAATGGCGCAAGGCGCAAACTTGAGTGACGCGACCGGATTTCATTGAGCAGCACTGTTCATTCGCTGCAACACAGTACATGTACAATCAAGTGGAACCTGCATTGTTTAGGTTGTGGTTTCCAGGAGTAGTACATATTGTACTACTCCCTGGTGGTTTCCCTGCATAATCTGCCATGGACGGAGAACAGCAAAATTCAGTCGCGATTCGTGGTAAATGTCATAATTTTACAAGTCGGTGGTACGGTGCAGCGTGGAATACATTGCTTTAAAAGAGGTTATGCGAATGATGTCATGGTTGGGAGTCAGCTATGCATGCAGCGCGATTCGCTATTGAGCCGTTAGTGCACTGCGGCAAAGCATCTCCACTGATGATGTAATCGCATTCACTGCTACATGTACGAGATTCATGAGCCAAGGCTTCACAGGCTGCGCATGGCCAGTCCGTCAGTGCTTGTAGACCTTGTACACACTGCAGAATTATTCCTATATTCACATTATGCTCCATGCCAGAAAGGGCAGAGCTTCTAACCACAGAAGACAGAGCGAGATTTCTCTGCAACATGAGCTTCATGCTATGCAATCCACAGGCAATGGTTTTTTTTCTTCATTTTACGGTTGTTCAACACTACATGTAACTTGCATCTCCCACCTTCCCTTTCCTGTCCCTGCCCGACCTTGCACTAGTCGCACTCACCTCTGTCCAGTTGCCTCCTTCGTGCAGGTTCTCCTGCTCCTCGGTGAAGAGGTTCGGGTGATCGCGACGGGCGGCGTCGTACTCGTCGCGGATCACGTCCGCAGCCGCTTCCAGCTCGGCGACGAACGGGTAGGCGGTCGGGTCGTGCCACGGCTGCGCCTTGAGGCTCTTCACGTACTTGGAGACGGGCCGCTGCATGACGTGGCCCCACACGCCGCGACGGACGGCGTTCTCGAACAGCAGTCGCGCGAGGTCGCCGCGCCCGATCGCCATCAGCGCCAGCCCGAACTGGTCCACCATGAAGGCGTTGCTCGGGAGTAGGACGATCGTCTTGCGATAGAGCTCGAAGCGCTCCAGGTCGGTGAGCTTGTACAGCGGTCGCTGTGTGTTGAACTCCTTCAGGGCGCTGGCATCCCGCTGCTCAACTGCCTTGGTCAGTAGTCCTGTGAGAAAACCACAAACGTGCAGTGTAGTCCGATGAAGAAAAGGCGTAGGACTGCATAGCAGCACCCCTGCAACTAGAGCTAAATGACGTGAGTGACCCTTGGACCCAGTCGCTCACTCACTCTCTATTCATCCACCCATACATCCATTCATGCCTCTCTCTCTTATCGGGGTCTGGTGTAGACCACTGTACCGGGTAATTCTGAACACCAGGCACATGTATAGGATCCATGGATCGAGTACATCCAAGCACTCTAAGATAAAAGCAAGAGTACATAACCTGTTATGTACTTTTGATAAAAGGCATCTCTCCCTTCCCCTCCCGCTCTCGACATGCGTAATGACGATCCTACCAAGCAGTTTCCTACATGTGTCGAACCCATGGATTGAGTAAATCCAGGCACTCAAGATACGTATGATAGAAGGCATCTCCCCTCCCCCCCCCCCCCCCCCCCCCCCTCTCTCCCTCCCTCCCGCCCTCAACATGCGTAGTACTAGTAATGGTCCTACCGAGCAGCTTCTTGTGTCGACTAGCCCGCCTTGCGGCGGTGACCTTCATTGCCTGAGTGTTCAACTTGCTCTCCATCTCGTCGGCTATGCTCACTGGCTCGCAGCGTACAAACAGCGTCTCGTCGGTCTTCAGATCCTTGTGCGCCTTCAGGGAGTCCCATAGCTTGATCAGCTGATCCAGCACTGTGTTGTAGAGCTGGTCGAACACTGTGGCAAAGTCCAGCTGCGCGCGATCGGCCACCTCAGTGCAGTACTTGAGCAGCACGGAGCACGGGTTCTGGTCCTTTCTGAGCACAAACTCCTCCTGACCGGTGACCTGAAGGCGGTAGATGATGGGCTTCTCTTTCGTCTTGCTCCTACCGCCGCTGGAGGATTTCTTCTTAGCCTCAGACATGCTGCTTGCCAGGCAGCATATCAAGAATACCACTAACCACCTTGTATTGGCTTTCATGCTTACTCGTTCGGATGATGGTCCAATGCTGTGAGCACAGATCCGTTGTTCACAAAATCCACGCTACCGCAATGTTCACGAGTGTTTGTGGATCTTGCCAGGTCGAGTTGATACCCGCTGGAGGTTTCAAGCAGCCTTGCTTGCCTTGAGCTCAACGAAATGGTTTTCGGGGCACGCTATTGCCACGCTGAGTTCCCATTCAATGTGGATAGCCTTGCAGGGCAGTGACGACTGTCGCACCAGTCATCTGGACATGTCGTCCTCGGATTTGCGCGCTCTTCAGTCTGTTTTACCGTCCAGGCTCTGTGGTGAGTTGTAGCAGCATGCCAGTCCGGTAGAATAGAGCGGTGCGTGCCTTGTGTCAACGTATATAGGCTAGACAGCCCAGGATTCAGTCCTTTATTTACGCCCATGGCCCCAAACTGATGTTGTAAATCCTTGACCATGTTGACAGGTGAGACTCAGATTAGGCCTTGATGGATTATGCTAATATTTTCGTGAAATTATGCTTTTCGCATTGCTGAAAAATTGCTATTTTTATGCTAAAAGTTATCATAATAATTATTATGCCGCATTATGCTGCACATTTGCGACGAAACACCATCACTAGCCAGCTTGGTTTCGCAAAAAAACATGCATGAGGACTAGCGCATGAGCTTTTTTTGTAGAGGGCGTTGTGCGAGTAGCAAAAGTTCAACGGGGTCAACGCACCGTCCGACCTAGCCACGACCGTCACTGATTATAGTGGACTGGACATGATTGTTATCAAGGGAGTCGTAAACCTACGACTTCCTGGTGCATCTACAGTGCGTATCGGTTATAGTGTGGTCGTATACAAGAATATACTGCTTACAAGAATGAACACTCATTTTTTCACAATCATAACACATATTTTATGTGTATATTTATTCTTACAAGCAGTATTATCGCATAGTAGAATATATCGGCCCTAAGAATGGATTTTGTGTAGCAAAATATGCCAGATCAGTGCAAAGTGTATCGCCTGTAGTAATAACATCTGTGCTCTGTGCATACTCAATACAATAATATTCAACACAAAAAGAGAGTTATGTCCAAGGGAGCATTGGAGAATCACTTTTTCTGTCCAGTCGGACTCTTTCTTCCGACTTCTCTCGTATCCGCTGCTCCACAGTCGCCTAGCATGACCGCGAGTCTGATTGATCCGTGTGTATCATGTGTACGTGTCCACATGCCAAACGTGCGCGCATATGATATGTCACACGTGCATATGATATGTCACACGTGATTTATCGTGTGTAAGAAATATCGGCAATAAGAATCAAATGTCGTTTTTCAAACACCCACGCTATAACCGATACCTCCTGTACTTGTACTTGTAGAACATGTACAACTGTATGGAATTAATTATTTGATGCGAACAGGCGGATTATTCCAATTTATGCGATTCGTATGCAATTATTTGCCTCGAATTATGTGATTATTCGATTTTGGTAGGAATTATGAGAAAAATTATGCTAGCATAATCCGTCAAGGCCTAACTCAGATCGACCATGTTATGTGCTTGGCTCCCAGAAAAAGTATACTACTTTTTATAGTACCAAGTGTTTATGGACTCTTGCTAGTACTAGTAGCTGTATGTCGCACGACTCGACTGTCGACTACCGACGGTCATGACCGGTCAATGTTGTATCCATCAGAAAGCAAAAAAAACAAGGAAATCAAAGTCTCGATCATCGATGACACGCTCTCTGTGCCGGTGTAGTCATGGTTGCTGTCTTATAAGTAGTTATACCAGGGAGTCGTATACAGTATACGACTTCCTGCTTATACCTTTTACCAAGACTCCCTGGTATTAAAACATGGTGAAACCCATTCCCGATTTCCAGGTCTGGGCCTATGCCGCAGGCTATACAATGTAGGCTAGTATAGCGCTATACTATCTATGCGGCAGTATTCATGGTATTGTGTTAGCATGTTATTTCAATGTGAAGAAGAGGTTGGTGCGACTTTCGGCGATACTTGGGGAATTGTGTGTTGCTCCCTACATGGGAGCTTGCGGTTTTCCTGCGACTTGAATTCTCACTTGACTGACTCACGACTGCCATCCACTGATCCAGAGCACACTAGAAGTCCATCGAACCGTCCACTCGGCAGACCTGCAAGAAAGCACCACTCCCTGCTCAATACACAGTCAGTCACGGTTTCGGGGAATTCACCGGCCCTCATCATGACATCAGTTGAGCTTGAGTAGGCTGAGGAAGATTGTGTCTGATAGTGATACTGAGTGATAGTGAAGAGCACCACCAACGACCTACGTACATGTACATAGTGCTCTCCTGGCACAAACATCACCAGGGATACAAACTTACAACTTACAGTTACAGTAGGTATCGGTTATAGCGTGGGTGTTTGAAAAACGACATTAAAATTTTGATTCTTATTCCCGATATTTCTTACACACGATAAATCACGTGTGACGTATCATATGCACGTGTGACATATCACTATATGCGCGCACGTTTGGCATGTGGACACGTACACATGATACACACGGATCAATCAGACTCGCGGTCGTGCTAGGCGACTGCGGAGCAGCGGATACGAGAGAAGTCGGAAGAAAGAGTCCGACTGGACAGAAAAAGTGATTCTCCGCTCCCTTGGGCATAACTCTTTTTGTGTTGAATATTATTGTATTGAGTATGCACAGAGCACAGATGTTATTACTACAGGCGATACCCTTTGCGCTAATCTGGCATATTTTGCTACACAAAATCCATTCTTAGGGCCGATGTATTCCACTATGCGATAATACTGCTTGTAAGAATAAATATACACATAAAATAAAATATGCTGCTGTCTGATGATCGCTCGATGCGTGAAACTTTAAGTTACAGCTAACACAGCCTTTCGCCTCTGTTGTGTGTGTAAAATAAAATATGTGTTATGATTATGAAAAAATGAGTGTTCATTCTTGTAAGCAGTATATTCTTGTATACGACCACACTATAACCGATACGCACTGTACCATTAAATTTTGGTTACACTACAGACTACAACAAGTACAGTACAGAGACGCTCCGTTGACTGACTAGCGACTGTAGTACCCTAGCCTAGGCTATACGTCAGCTACGTAGATATCGATCGATCGTGCTGTAATGTTTTTTTCCTTGCAAGAAATCTTTGCGCTGCATGACTGTTTCAGCGTTTAGTTGTCACTTTTTGATTTTATAGTTTGTACAAATAATTTGTATTTAGGAGGATCGAGGAGAGAAGGTAGCAGCAACAGCAGCTATCTAGCCATGGCGGGCGTGGATGAGTTTAACCACTACACGTACCCTCGCGTGCGCAACCTGTGGGAATGCGACCCTAACGACGAGGCGTGCAAACAAATGGCCCTGCACCAGGCTTCGCGCGACTCAGCAGTTGCTTATCAGAAGGTACAGCTATTGCATTTATAATTATATTGCGATGGAAACATAACGAAATATATTCTCGCAATTGCTGATGATAGCAATGAATAATAATTATTAGTTCCGCGATCATGCCACACAACAAAGAAGTCTCAAAAGAGTTTGTTGTGTGGCATGACCGCGGAACGAATATTATTCATTGCTATCATTAAATTTGTTGTCTCCACGGCCACGTCGCTCAATTGCTGATGATGGTTGTTAGTTCGCAAAATCCAAACGGGAGTTTCTTCCCTATGACAAGGTAGCGAAGACATAAGGTTGTAACTTATAAGAGAGGGAAGAGGTGTACTAGTATGTGAAATGTGCGTTATTGATTTCAGAGAGAGAGAAGAAATGATCGAGTTAGGTCCTACCAACCTTGATGAGTTTCTTCACTTTCTTGATTTGAATACTCCTGGTTACTTTGGGTATTCGTGAGAGTGTGTGTTGAGCCCTCGGGCCCCTGCATCCCCGCCACCAGAAATTAGTTTCGTAATAATTTCATTTGAACTGAGGGCCGTCCTCCAAGGCTCATGACCTTTCAATGATACAGGGTGTACGATCATGATGGAGCGGTAGGCCCAGACACTGGGCAGACAGAGATTCTGCTCCGCTCGCCTCGAAATTTTTGTCGACCCTGGCACTAGAAATCCGATATTTTGCTCCGGAAAACGTGTATTTTATCCATTTCCCGTACGTTTCATAAAAAGTGCATGGTCGGTTTCTCAACACGGGTTTTCACACACGCCTGTCTCTAGGTTCTTCCTTAATCATGTTGATCCGCAGTGAATCGTGATATTTCGGTGACATGATCTCGTCCTGGGCAGTGTGTCCTGCTGAACGAGTAAGAAACAAGGACATCCAAGTACAGTCCGTATCGCCTATAGGGTTGGCGGCTATAGTAATATACCGGATATAGTGATCAATTTCTCAAATTCATTTTCATTTGCCATAACTAAGTATACACAGTTATCGCGTATAGTAATAATCGTCTATAGTAATATATCGCCTATAGTGATCAAATTCATATTTCAAAAAACGTTTATTACACTATTTTTGCATCGGTTATAGTGATTGATGTAAAATCAAGCGATGTCAGAGGAGAACAGAGTGTTACTTCTTCGTGAAGAACTTGTCCAGTGAGTGTTGTTTGGTGAGTTTTGCTTGTACAAGTTGCCAAAATATGCCTCCATCATGAGGAAATCCTGATTTTGTGTGTCAGGAGCTACAGCCAGCTACATGACATTGTACATGTATGTAGTGCGTATGTGCACGGCGCGCTGAGTCGTTTGACACCCCACTCGCATACATTGCATGCAGTATCGGTCATAGTAATATATCGCTTATAGTGATAAAATGCTCAAAATCAAACACCAACGCTATAGGCGATACTGACTGTATCAGGCATGGATTTTACCCAACATCTCGATATTTCGCTCCGATTTTGCCGGCAAATTCCGCTTTTTCAATTCTTCCATATTTTTGCCGAAAGAATTGCCGGCAGGATCTGTCTGGGCCTATGGAGCGGACATGGCACGCGCAGCCCTGTAATCTCTGCCTGCGTCCACACTTGCTTCACAAGGAGCGCTAGCGAATTCCAGCGATCCTGTATGCCGGAAAACTCAGAGCGAAAAGAGGTCAAAAGGCCATAGCGACTGTGAGCTTAAAAGCGGGATTCACAGATTTTGCGCTGTCATAATAATGCACCGTAAATATACATGTACTGGAGCAAAACACACGCATGTGCTGTGAAATGCCACAGCTGCAATGTTGAAATAACGTGTTCAGGCTTGGTGTTTGCACGTTTGCTCCGGAAAGTAGACCCAAAGTGCGGTTTACACGTGTCTTCCACTGATGTGGCATTCAGCTAAGATTCGGGTCTACTTTAGTTAAGACAGTACCAGTTGGTTGACGGCATGACAACTAGAACGATGACAAGGAACTTGAGTTGATTTTACTAATATCGACTCCGTCAGCAGCGCATATAATGCCATGGAGTTTGCATGGCGATCTCGAGCTGGGGCGCAGGTCACCAGAACCAACGGATGATCACCCGACGCTGAATCAACACGCACACCTGTGCTTGCCATGCTTGCTGGTGTATGTTTCAGTGTTTGGTTGGGTGGTTGTTGGAGCCATTGTCGGTTATGTTGTGTCCTATGCTGCTGGCCACTAGTCGAGTGGACACAGGCATTGGGAGGATGGATCTATGATGTCTGCTCACGTTAATGATAGCTTGCATACCGTCCTACCGGTAGGACCCAAGAAATCGAGCTGCAAAAGTGCTTTTGGTTGAGAATTTTTTTAAAACAATTGTTGAGATGAGGTCTTTGTCAGGCAAAGTAATGGCGCAAAATGCAAGGCTATGTCCAGTGCATTGCGTATGCGCAATTTTACCGATTGTCAAAATTGCCGCACATAATCCTGTCGGTGCGCTAGCAACTCTGTCCAAAGTGAATTTTGACCATGGCACATCAATTGTGGTGAGGTCCTAATGTTTTTATTAGCTTGCCAAGGCCGTGGAATGCATAATTCCATACTCCATTTCCATGGTTACCATGGGTTGTTACCATGGAATTTCGTAGTATGCCTTGTGCGATCACGTCTAAAATTTGTGGACTTCTTCATTAGCCCCTTAGCAACAGTTTAGGGTCAAGTTTTAGGTCAATGTTAGAACAGAGGCCATGCAGCATGTCTGTGTATGATGGTCCTACCGGTAGGTCCTACCGGTAGGACCGAGGTCTATGCAAGCTATCATTAAAAACCTTTACTGGCACAATTGCAAACACCAGGCTGCGAAGGCAGAAAGCAGAATTTCACCGGCACAATTGCAAACACCACTGCGATGGTACAAACCAGGATTTCATTGGCACAATTGCAAAGACCACTGCGATGCCGGAGACATACGCACGCGCGTGTTGTGCTTGTGATGCACTGTTTGACTCACTCGTACAGTCAGACCTCGTTTAACCGCGCACATCCGTTTTCCACAAAAAAATATCCGGATAGGCGAGTGAACCGGATAATCGAACACACATACTGTGTGTATGCACTACATAATTATGCTGTAAATCGGTAACCAACGATTTTCTTCCGGATGGCGAGAGGACCGGATAAGCGAGGTCTGACTGTACTTGCTTGTAGCTACAAAGGGCAGTTCTAACAAGAGTAACATGTACTCTGATTTCAGAAATTTTCGGTGCTCAATTTTTTTCGCTATGAGGGCAACAGGCCAGGTTAGGTGAACAGAAATTTTCGGTACAGAGAAGCAGTTCTTTATGGGATTATGCGTGTTGGTGTTTGTTCGGTGTATTGAAATTTTAGGGGTCGTCCGTATTTTTCGAAAAATTAAAAAATCCGTCCTCAGGCAAAAAGGGGGTGGGTGGTCAAGAGTGCTGGCGGAATTTAATTTTTTGATTTTTTTTTGCTCCAGTGACTTTCATACACTTGTTGCACTGATTATAGCTGACTGTGCACTGTACTGTAGACGTAGACATGTAGTGTAGGATCGATTGTCGCTAACACCAGTTTCTACTATGATATACATGACTTTTCATGTAGTTGTAGGACGGTGCATGGCCGTGACGTCGGTAGACCTAATACTAGGGAGGTTCTGCTCTACGTTTTGGGAACGCGACGCAAAGAATCACGCGAACTTTCTTCGCGTTCCCGTAACGTAAAGAAATGCTGTTCTGCTCTACGTTTCACCTAGAGAAGTCACGTGGAATGTGTACTGGGAATTTCCCCTTCCATATTTGGCAGTTTTCTGCATGCAGTTGATCGATACCCAGCAAATCCGTACGCATTTTCTCTGCGTGTGCCACAACGTAGAGAACCCCATCTCCGCGTAGAAATCTGGAGCCAAAACACGCGAAGCCGTAGACTCTAACCCAGACACCTGCTCTCTACGTGATTTCTCTACGTTTCACGTATAGCAGAACCTCCCTACTCACTGTACTTAGCTACTAGTACTTGACACGGGTGCAGTCAGAAAACATGGGGTCAGGATTTCTTATTTTTTGAGCTGGGTATGCCGGCATCGGTAAAAATCAAAAAATTAATGGGAAAAATGGGGGGTGGGTGGGTGGGTCAGAGACAATTTTGCACGAGGACGGATTTTTTAATTTTTCGAAAATTACGGACGACCCCTTAGGTATGAAACAGCTGCACCGAAAGTACCGGAAATAAAAGTACACCGAAAATTTGTGAAATTACAGTACTCGTACCAGTGTAGTAAGCAGGTTTTTTAAAACTTTTGTTTTCATTTGACCCGACGAGACCACACAACACGGGACGAACAGTTGCCCAGCAACACTCCACAATAGCACGTAGTGTTGCTCCCGACAGGTCTTGTTCCGTTCCATAAGGTGCCGGGAGCTCATCGTGCTCGTTCTGTTGTCGGCAAGCGTCGTGTAGTCGCATTAGGTCGAATGAAAAAAAACCCTTGTTACAACTAAGTTATGAATGGATGGACCAAATGAAGATGGCAACAACGACTTACAGTCAACTTTGCGTATAACGACACTCCGCGGGGCATCAGAAAAGTGTCCTTATTCGCGAAGTGTCCTTATACCCGAATTCTGTCGTTATTCGCGAATTGTGGTTATATCCGCATTCGTTATTAGTGAAGTTGATTGTACATGTACATACAATAGTGTACTTCTAAACCGTAGATGTGTGAACCTGCGTGAGAGAGTTCCTGACAGAGCTCCACTCCAGGGTACATGTACTGTCGAGCCTCAATTTTTAAAAACGCCCACTTTCTCTGGCAACCCCCGGAAAACATCCAATGGCTAGACGATCTAGCGACTTGTGCATGCAGCATAGTGTGACTGGGTGAGGACAAGGGCGAAGTGTATGGTGTCGGAAATGGGATTCAAATCCCGCCCGAAACACGCGTGGTCTCTCGATGTCAGTTCTGGTTTTCAGGCAAAAGTAAGCTGATGACTGTGTGTGTTTGTGAAACTTTGTGTGTGTGTGTGCCGACGCGTGCGTGCGCACCCATGCCACATGTGTTGCTGTGCATCATCCGTGTATAGTACTTGATTCTGGAGAAGCGTTGGTGGGCATGTCGCATGATCCACAAGGAGAACGTCAACATGTACTGCCAGGAAGAGCGGATGAGATTCGACGACGCCTTCCGACGCTATAGAGGACTGGGTAAGCATGCGACACGTGTGTGTGTGTGTGTGTGTGTGTGTGTGTGTGTGTGTGTGTGTGCGTGTGTGTGTGTGTGTGTGCGTGTGTGCATAATTACGTACTGTGCATGTTTTCAGTAGTGTGATGGTACGTTGAAGTGAGTCAGCCGGATGCAAAGTCCTTGGCCCTGTCCATGGCTGTGCTGCATGGCTTGCATGAGAGGCTTGCTTTAGTCCTCGGCCCTGTCTATGCTGAATGGCTTGGATGAGAGTAGCGTGGAGGGATCATCGAAAGTGACTCGTACCTATCTAAGGCGTGTACACTCTTACTTGCTGGTATGCGAGTGTTGCTAGTCTGCCAGTGCCGGGTAAGTTGTAGTGGGAGTACTACTACTCTTTTGAGGAATTTGGTGGAAATTGGAGGAGTTTTGCCAATTTGTGGAAATAGCGATGTCGGATTTTCAGTGAGCGCGCCTGTAGCAGTTTGGGACTGATGTTATGTACGTTTTGCCTATTGTCTTGCTCCTGTGTGCCTCGTGCAGGCAAGGAGTCTCTGATCACGAACGCGGAGGGCTTGCAGCACTTGGACAGGCGGCCATACGAGCCCATCCGCCCTGACGACTATCAGCGTAGTATTGGCAACCAAGGAGGCTTCACCAAGCAGCCATACCCGGTACGACAATGTTAGGCATATAGCCCGCATGGAGACGGGGGGGGGGGAGGGCACATACGCCTGTAGTAAAAGTAAGGGTTGTAGCCACGATGTGGAGTACAACTACTACTACAGTAAAACCTGGTGTAAGCGACCTCTGTGTTTAGCGACCACCTGCTCTTAACCACCGTTTTTCCATGCACCGATAATTGTACACAGACGTTATGGGACCTGGTTCTGAAGACCACCTGGCTTTAATGACCGCTTTTGCTTGCACCGTGGGGTGGTCACCTAAACCAGGTTTCACTGTACTATTCCTATTACAGTCGACCTACCCTTATAACGATAACCTCTATAACGATATTACCCTTATAACGATATTTTTCTGCCAAACCAAATCACTCCATTGACTTTTGTATACAACGCCTTACCCTTATACTTCAAGTAACAATATTGCGATAACGATATTACCCCTATAACAATATAAATTGGGCTGACCAATCAACATTTTCCATTTTATAACAATATCCAGCAGGGGATATGTAGAGTCCACTGTCAAGGTAGGGCAAGATTCACTTGATAAGTCGCTGGGACATGACGAAATGCGATGAGGGCACCAGTGGGCACCTTGCTGTGTACATAATGTGCATGTACATACGTTTTCGACGCTATGAAGAGTGTAAAAAATGAACTAAATTCATGCATGATGACGTATGTGTATGAAATGAACCAGTTACCCCTATAACAATATTACCCTTATAACAATATTTCTGGGTCAGACGAAAATATCGTTATAAGGGTAGGTCGACTGTAGTATTACCAACACAACTCAGTCGGTTTGATGACAGTTATATTACTCAACGGTTCGAGAGGGAACAAGAGAGAGAGAGGACTAGAACAACTAACCGAAGAACTCAGAGGGAAGTCACAAGAGAGAGAACTGACAAGAGATCAAGTGACTGAGGAGATCGCAGAGGGGCAGCGCAAGCGCAGCCTTTGGGGTGTATCTAAAACTCTGGAGGGAAACAAAGGGGTGCATGCAGTAAGTGGGAATAGGGTGAACGGGAAAAGGGGTGTATGCAGTTAGCGAGACAGGGTGAGCGGGAAAAAAAGGGGTCAGCAGTGCATGAAGTAAGGGAGGCAAAAGGTCAGCAGGGCGAAGGTGAGCGGGGAGTGCATGAATATGTGCAGGGGAGTGTGTGCGTACGGGAGTGTGGACGGGGCTCATACAACATTACCCCCCTCTCCGGGTGAGAAAACTCGTGTCCCCACGAGAAGAAGAAATAAATGAAATAAATAAATAGGGAACGGGTGTATAACACATGCACGAAACAACCGCACATACACAATTCACATGCACAAGACGTGAAACATGTTACCAAAATAAAAAATAAAAACATAAATAAACAGTTTCCTCTGAGACAAAAATGCGATAATACTCATAAAAAGGACACACTTCAGGCACAGGTACACCACACAGCTCTGCACATACATCACATAGCCACTCTCAACATACCAACACCAGACAATTTATCAACGCTTGTAACACATTTCTACTCGGACAACTCACATTCGGATACCATTTCTGTATCGTCGGGGGTGGGGTGGGCTGTGGGGCTTGATGGCCAGTGCGTCGGCGTGCCCGCCGATCAGCGGCATGGCGGCGAGCCCGAGCGACGTAGGCGGCCGATCTGACTCGCCGCTATGTCCGCTGCTCCCGACGTCGGCGGATAATGCAGCGTGCGTCCTCTGGCCGGCGGTCAGGCACCAGGGGACGGAGAGGTTGGGGAGGTGGAGGAGGCGGCGGTGGTGCAGGCAGATGTGGCGGTGGCCCGGAGACAGGATGCTGGTGCACCTGCACAGTGAAGGTACTCCACACCACACAGAACACAGGGAAAGAACAAACAGCAACCAACAACCAAACCAGAGACAGCAATGTATGGGTTGGACTCCACAGAGGACGAACACTCTGCCGGAGACAGCGAGGACGAACGCTCGGCTGAAGGTGAATACTTAAATATGACGACGGGCACTGCAACCGCGAGGACGAACACTCGGCTGAAGAGGAATAGTTAAATATTACAGCGGGCACTGCAACAGCGAGGACGAACACTCGGCTGAAGATCTTAAAACAAGGGTGTAAATGAAGAGGGCAGGCGGGGATGACTCCAGCCATGATGGGAGCGGGGTACCCGGGGCGGCGTCCACAGGTGGGAGGCTCACAGGGCCAAAGATTGGCTTTAATCTATTCCTGTGGACGGTCATGATGGTGGTGCGCCGGGATTAATGGACGCCAAGCCGTTTAATGGTGTAGACTAGGGGGGAATGAACAACACACACCCTCCCTTAAAAATGTGTGTGCATGCGTTGGAGATTGCAGCCGTAAGGAGAATGGCCCTGGACAGCTTTGTATAGGCACTGCAATTGTTCTACTTTGCGCTCAGCTCGCGCAGCTACCGCAGCCGACCCAAAGAACGCCAATGAAAGCAAAACAATATTGTGAAGGAATATAGTTCAATTTACGCATTTCGTCCTATTATAAATGATTTTTCTTGATGTGACTTTTGAAGTAGAATTGAGATTTAGCTTATCCACCTTGTGGTTATTGTAACACGTGCTTGGTGGTGCCGAACTGACAGTGTCGCCCTGCTCACAATGCACATTGCATGCCTGTGTGTCGCCCTGCTCACAATGCACATCGCATGCCTGTGTTTCGCTTTGCTGCTCAGAATGCTCATTGCATGCCTGTGTGTTTCGCCCTGCTCACAATGCACATTGCATGCCTGTGTTGTGTCGCTTTGCTGCTCAGAACACGCACAAGGAGCCGCTGGAGGTGGTGCAGATGGATGCAACCAAGCGGAAGCCCATCACCGACCCGGATCGTCCCACCGTCTCCGTGCGGCTCTTCGACAACACGAGACGCGAGGTCGTCCTCGACCTGCCGCCCAAGAAGCTCGAAGTGCCCAAGCAGGTTACGTCGTACGACCCGGAGAAGTTCAAGACCGGCACGGAATAGCTTAGTATGTTGTAGCGATTTTTATTAAAGTGTGTGTGCATGTGTGTGTGTGTGTGTGCATGTGTGTGTGTGTGTGTGTGTGTGTGTGTGTGTGTGTGTGTGTGTGTGTGTGTGTGCGTGCGTGTTTGTTGCAGATGTCTGGCTGCCCCGTGTTGCACATGTGTGACTGTGCTGGCAATGCTCTCACTGTTCATGCTGGGTGCTAGTAGCATGCGAGTCCGTGTGCTAGGCATTCTCTTTCACTGATTGTCATCGTGCGTTGGGGCATTGGCCAGATGATGTTTTGCTTTGCACCTTTGTGGGTGCTTTCCCGCGTTTTCTGCGCCTTCGTTTCTTTAACGCGTACTGTTGTTGCAAAGTGTAGCAACCGACATGTATATAGTTTGCATTACACACACACAACTGCTATCTGCTGCAGAACACGCATCACCATGGCTTGGTCCTGAAAAGGCCAATTTAGTTTTACACTTCTGCACAACCGATGTCTTATTATTCCTGGCTGCCAAGCACTCATCGGTTTGCATTGCTGGTTTCGGCAGGAACACGAAAATTAATGATGTTTCTCCTCCATTGCTTGTGTGATAAGCTTGTGCGGTTATTCCTAGGCTAGTTTGCAGTTTGCTGCTTTCCCATTATATTTATCAGTGAGTGCTTCACCATGGCATGCACCACTGCATTGATGAAGTAATAATTATAGCTAGCAATTCAACGGCGTTCCATGCTGACGCAATACTCAAGCGCTGTGTGTGTGTGTGTGTGTGGGGGGGGGGGGGGTGTGTGTGTGTGTGTGTGTGTGTGTGCGTGTGTGTGTGTGTGTGTGCGCGCGTGTGTGGAGGGGCGATACGTGTATTTGGATTTTCGATCAATTTCATCAGTATGGTTTGGTATAATTATTTCGCCATCATCCAGCAGTACTGAAAATTGTTTGATGTACCAGTTCGAAGTCGTAGTCACGTGATATTTTTTTAACAATTCCTTTAGAGGCTGATCTGGCTGTGCTGACCATGCATGCCATACCAAGCCCAAAAGGAACATGTGGCCGGCTTTGATCTCGTGATTTGAGACAGCTACAAACAACCAACTCCAAGTATCACCTCACTTGCTCTTGGACTATTCTATCTATGCATTGCTATCTGCTACATATTTGTATCAAGAAAATGCAGATCTGCAATGATTTCAAATCATTTGGGTAGGTAGATCTGCATAGACGCGACTCACATACTGACTGTCTGTAAAATTATTTGTAATGGTAATGGTCTGGATAGTGCAGGACCTGCGGGTTGACGTGTTGTTTCTGCCGTCACTTATCAGTCCGGGGCCTTGATGATTGACAGGCGAAGTGAAGGGCACGTGGGGATTCACCGCATCTGCACGAGCCCGACAACGGCGACATGCCCCAGCTCTCGGCATGGCTGGCGACATGTCTGTCATGCACGCGTGTTTGAAGAGAAGCCCCTTCACCATGAAAGGCTGATAAATGTTGCGAAGTGCACTGCACTGCACTGGTATTATCTACTTGGTAGATATGCGCATCATCCTGTACTGTAGATCTACGGACTGCACAGTCAGTGCAAGTGCCACATCCTGCACACGAAATCCATGCAACAGACCTGGTGAATGAAAAATCAGATGCAGGAACTGGAAAGAAAATCTTACACGCACTGTTGCTGTTGCAGTGTTGGCACACGTCCTCAAACCTGAAGCTGTTCAAGAAAATAGTGCATCACTGGATTTTCACATCCACCACTGCACTGCAGGTGAAGCTGCGCATCTGTTCGACAGCAAAGGTTGAGAACTGAAAAAAATATTCAGTCAATTTGAGGCTGGTGAATTTTCAGCGCAATGATGGAGGCTGTCGCGACGTCTGATCCCACGGAATCCGAGCAGATCGGTGCTGAGGAGACGGTAGAGGAGGGCATTGACGAGGCTGCTGCCCAGGAGCAACTCGATGAGGAATACAGGAAAAAGAAGGATCGTCTGGACTTGGTACGGACGAGAAAACATTTTGCTCGCTTCCATATTTGAGAACTTTGCCCGTTGTGAATGCACTAGTGGTTCGCTGTCATGTGGATGGTTTCGCAAAATAGTGCGAATAATTAGCAAATTGTACAGCGATAACTGAGTAATGATTGTTCGTGTGGAACATTGATGGTGGCGGAGCTGTGAAAGGAAACCAGGGAGTCGTAAAATATTTTAGGACATCCTGAATGAAAATGGCAACAATCTATACGCAATGGGCCACAGCATCTTAGTATTTATCTCACACCAGTCTGCAGTTTATTGCACTATCCATTTTTCGTGATGCATGCATTGAATTCACGCAGGGTTATTTTTTGAGTTAGCGCTATATAGCATACATGTAAGACTCGAGGCCTGAATGGAGCTGGAGCAAGTACATGCACCAAGCCATGACGTGCACTCGCATCCTGGCAAGGCTGCCTTACGAACACGTAACGTCGTCACTAGCGGCTGGCCACGGAAATGTGATCTTTTTCAAAGTTCGACACCAAATCAGAGGTTTGTTGGAATTCATCATCAATGGCCCCATTGTCACCGGCACACAAACATAACCTGATGTCTGTTTGTTTGTCTGTTTTGATTGTTTGTTTGTCTGTTTTGATTGTTTGTTTGTCTGGCTGTCTGTTTGTCTGTTTTGCTGTGTATTCGTGTGTTCACGTGTATGCTCGGCTCTGTAGTTGGAAGGCGAGGCGCGGGATTTGCGTATCACTCTTGCCACCAAGGAGAGGGAGATTGATCTGTTGAGGGAGGAGCTGTGCTTGACTCCTAGCGCTCAGCTCAAGCGTACCGTGGAGAACTCGACGCTGTGAGTAGCTGTCAGCTCAGTGTGCTCGTGTGTGTGTGTGTGTGTGTGTGTGTGTGTGCATGTGTATGTGTATGTGTGTGTGCGTGCATGTGTGTGTGCGTGCGTGCATGTGTGTGTGTGCGTGCATGTGTGTGTGTGTGTGTGCATGTGTATGTGTATGTGTGTGTGGGTGCGTGCATGTGTGTGTGGGTGTGCATGCGTGTGTGTGTGTGTGTGGGTGTGCATGCGTGTGTGTGTGTGTGTGTGTGTGTGTGTGTGTGTGTGTGTGTGTGTGTGTGTGTGTGTGTGTGTGTGTGTGTGTGTGCATGCATGTGTGTGTGTGTGTGTGTGCATGCGTGTGCGCGTATGTGTAATCACGCTGTTCTGGTGAATTATTGGCTCATTCACCAATATGGCTTGGAATGAAGAGATAGTATTATGATCTGGGGTAACTCTTATCATAATGGCAACAATTTGACATTCAAGAGGGCCAATTTGCTCCGAGATCAAATCGGACTGTTTCGGTGTCATATTTTTTGCATAGCAGTTTCTGCTATACAAAATCACAATTGTGTAGCAGTCTTTGATTTTGATTAGCATTTTTTCTTTGAAGGTTGGGTGTTTACCACATTGTCCTTCTTGAGAGTGATGCCTGAAAGCCCATTTGCAAAAAAAACGGCTGAATCATACATGTGCACGCAGATCGAGAGTGCCTGCACCACATACACTGTACTGTATGCATGTTACTTGACAGCGCAGGCTAGGCATGGATAGTCTGTATGTATTGCGCAGTTTTCTGCGAGTCACGGTGACTTTGAGTAGCAGTAGATCGATTTTGCATCGCAAACTGCGATGCGATACGGGATAAATTCATCCCTGCAATTAGGGCTGTCATAATGCCGATTTGCACCACTGCCGGGATTGTCTCTTGTAGTCAGATTGTGGCCATTATGAGGTGCCCCGGATTACAATACAGTAAATCCTGGTTTAAGCGACCTCTCGTTTTAGCCACCACCTGCTCTTAACGACCGTTTTTCCATGCACGGACAGTTCTACACAGACACTGTGGGACCTGGATCTAAAGACCACCTGGCTTTAACGACCGCTTTTGCTTGCACCGTGGGGTGGTCGCTTTAACCAGGTTTTACTGTAATTACAATCTCTTCATTCCCAGCCATATTGGTGAACGCGCCGGTAATTCACTTGAACGGCGTAAATTTACTCGGCGTGGAGTGTGTACCAGTATTTTAGAACGTCAATTTATTTGCCTGGATGACAGACCATTCAGGCGACTAAATTGACGCTTGAAAATTCAAAATGCATACTGGCGTGTGTGTGTGTGTGTGTGTGTGTGTGTGTGTGTGTGTGTGTGTTTGTGTATGCTGGCGTGTGACCGTGGTGTGCGTATGTCGCATCTGCTGTACATGCACAGTTACGTGAAGACCCGGGAGTTGGGTGACAAAGTCAAGTCGTCCGAGACGTAAGTAGTTCAGCCAGATCGGCTTGCACAGTTGTTGAAATCCACAGATACTGTAGTGATATTCACCGGTTTGAGGGAAAGACGCAAACGGGAAAAGTCTGAAGTAAAAATTGACTGTCACCACCAGGACTCGCGGTGTATGGTGTAGTCGTCATCCCAGCAGAAACCGTTCAAAGTTTTCTTCATACTGTAGTGAAGCAATCTAATAAGCCCACTGCGCAATGACGTAATTTGTGCCATAAACCAGGCAGCCACCTGGGCATGGTCGTGTGGGGTGTTGCATTGCTGATCTCGGCGTACTCACATGCATTACTCATTCCTTCCATGTGTGGCAAAGCGCAATGGGCTTATTTGAAATAAGAAAGCACTTCGTTCTTTGTTCTTTGGCCAGCCTAAAAAAATTGCGAAAAGCAAAGTCAGCTATTTCCTGGTGGTGACGGTCTTTCTTCAGACTTTCCCCGGTGCATCTTTCCCTCAAACCAATGAATATTTGCAGTGAAGAGACCATTTGGCGGAGAAGTTATAGCGTTTAGGTAGGAATGTGTAAACGGCTACATTGGGTGTTTGCAGTGACTATTCTACGCACATGCGATGGTCTACGTGCCAACTAACAATCAAGACAACCACTGACTTTGAGGACTACGAGTATTCAAAACTGTCTTGAAGATAGCAATACAATAGCCAAAAAAATTAGATTTAGAAGCACAACAAAAAAAGACGAAGACTTCTGAGCAAGTGCCGAGGACACAAAACTTAGGATCGCAATAAAGAGAACAAGTAATAGTTGAATGTGCATTTGGCTACTTTAATTAAAACGTTGTCAATATGTGGAAACAATGTGCAGTAACAATGATGGATGTCCGTTCAACGTGTTCTCTTTATTGCGACACAAAGACTTCTCTTCTTCAAAGAATTCTCAATGAACCACATCACCCACTTGCACCGTTGGACAAGACACCGCAGGCTGGATCGAGCCTCCAGGGTGTCTCCTCGTCCTCATCAACCGGCATGACGGTGGCTAGCGCGACAGGATATTATTATTCTTCTGCTCCAGGTCGGCTATGGACTTAACTGCCGGAACAGGTTGAGCCGGCCACTCTGCTTCACTGTTGCGGACGATTTCGGAACTAACCACCACTTGTGGGCCTGGAGAGCTCGTTAATGGCAGTGACACAAGTAGAGGCTGGCTGGATGCCGTCAGCGGAAACAACATGGCTGAGAACATCCAGCGAGTCGGCAGCAAACACGCACTTACTGGGGTTGATGGCTAGACCGTGATCATGCAGCCGCTGTAGGATTTGTCGAACATGCTGCCGGTGTGTTTCCAGATCAGGACCGACGATGAGCACGTCATCGATGTACACATAGCAAAATGGTAAATCGCGCAGGATTTGGTCGGTGAACCGCTGGAAGGACTGGGCCGCGTTGCGGTTCCTTTTCTGCCACTTGACAGCGTTACTGGCGTTTACTACTGAGTCGGCGGTGTGGGTGTGCAGCATTACATGTGTCTTGCCGTCCAAACTGAATAACGCCATCGCCACTGGCGTTGTTCTTAATACCTCCGTCCGTCCGCTGAGCACCTTGACCGACAGGTTCTCCTTGTCTCCCGAGAGACCAAGTTCGTTGGCGACATGCGAGCTTACATATGAATTGGTGCTGGTTTAGGGTTTTACGTCGGGCCCTAGACGACGGCTACTTTGGCCAACCGGACAACGAAGAAGTTGTGACCAAAGAGAATGATTTTATTTCTTGCGCATGCGTTTGTAGAATGACGTAATACTCAGTGAGTCAGGTCGCTACACTGGCATCATCGAGGAGTGCATTCACTTGCAGCGTTGTCCCGTTGTATGCTACAGTAACAGGCACAGTTCGCATGGCTACTTCTGGAGCTGACACGTGCCTCATTGATAGTGTGGTGTTAATTGGGTTGACGTCACCCGTTGCTGCCCGGTGGAGTTGCGGAAGGCGCCTGCCCGCTACTTGGAGTGCCTGGGCTCGATGCAGACGCTCCCTCTGGCGCACCGTGCAGGAGGTGGTGGTGCATCTTAGTGCACCCATTGATGCCATATGCTCGCCCCCACGAACAGACAGTTCCGTCCGCCATGGCCAGCTTCGAGGCACCGAAAATACAGGCTCTTGTCCTTTGCGGTTTTCCAACGCTTCTGAGGACTTGATGCCTTAAAAGACGTGCACCGCCAAGCCTTGTGGTGGCCCTGGCAAACGACACACACGACCTCCTTTGGTTGACTGCTGGTGACGAATGTGCGCGGCTTCCCGGGGCGATCATCTCTGGGAGGCCGAGGCGGGTGATCTTGCCTGCTGGTGATGCCGAAACCTGTCGCTGTCTCGGAGGCAGTCGCCAGAAATTCTGCGTGTAGGGCGGTGTACTCCAGAAGGCTCTGCACTGACTCTTGTAGACTACGGCCGTACCGCCAGCGATAGTACTAGTACCGCGCCACTATCTGCTCGTCCAACTTGCGAACGATGTCTGAGTGTAGTAGGTACTACAGTTGCGCTCACTGAAATCCGACCCGCTGTGCAAAGCTGGCGCCCTCAACTGGCACGGCCCTTGACGCCCAGGAAGTGGCACGGATGCGGCTGGACGTACACATGTACGCATACAATGATGTAATCGGAACTGGTCCGGGGCGCCAGCTTTGCACTTTGGGTCAGATTTCAGTGAGCGCAACTGTACCTCCAGCAGATCTGACGGCCCTGGGAGCAGGTTTTCTGCTCAAGTAATGCTAGTACTGTGGTAGGCATGGTGCAATCCGTAAAGCTGTGGTTTGGTGCACGTTTGGGTCACAGTGGTGGGGTCGGGCATGAACACTTCAAAACTTCTCGTATGATCTACCACAACAACAGGGCGCCGGTGACACTTGGATGCGAATGTTCTGCTGTTTGACCATTGTAGCGACGATTGTGTTCAATTTGCCAAGCTGCAGTGGAGAGATGTGCAATGTTTTATTTGCGCATTTCTGGTGCGTTGCATGTGCCCTTTTGTCCAATCAGTACTTGTGTCCAGTATACAGGGGAACTCGAACTGATATCCACTATCTGGCTGTCTGCCTCTCTGCCATTGGCATTGGGCTGGTCCAAATTTGAGCTGCCCGTCTTGAATTGTGCTATTCCAGCCCAAGTTATGCCTAGCAATAATTTACTGATCTCGTCTTCTGCGATGAGCTGGCTAATAAGATATTTTTGTGTATGTGTGTGTGTGTGTGTGTGTGCTTGCACGTGTGTGTGTGTGTGCATGTGTGTGTATGTATGTCATGACATGTTATCAGGTACCAGAAGACATCCAGCACGCTGAGCACTGCCGGGCATGCCACCGCCTCGGCTGTGGGCTCAGCAGCCAACAAGACTGGCGAGGCACTCACCAAAGTCTCCACTTCAGTCAAGTACGTATTCCTGCCTAAAAATGTTTTAACTTAAAAAATAAATAAATAAACCATGGCGCCTACGGTATAATTATCATCAAAAAATTCAAAAGCAAGTACGCTGCTTAATAGGCGATTCACCCGGTCTATCACATTGGCAACGACGATGTACAGGTTCCTGCGCGAGAAAGAGGGCGGTACCACTGTTCATCCAGCTCATGCCACGATAGCAGCAAGGGTTACATGAACAGCGGCACTGGCCGAGTATGTGTGACTGGAACGTGTTGTTCCCCGCATGCACCCAAGCCAAGCGGATAGTTCACATGAACACAAGAATGACTATGCCTATGAGTTGCATGAACCATTGTTTAACGCAAACTACAGCCGTGGCCAAAGAAATCCAACCCGCAAGTCCGAAGAAGCGCCGAGTTTCCCTTTCCATTACGTCATGCACCGTCCAAAACGGTGAGGGCCGCAGGAGCCACATGCGCCTTGGTGCTGCTTTCGGCACGTGGTTTGGATTTCACTGGCCACGACTGCTGCACCTACAGGTAGAGTGTTGCTCAATGATTCCGTCGTTTATGCCGATGGAACTTGTGTAATCGAACGGTGCATGCAGCATAACGGATTCTAGAATGGACGAAACTCTGTGAAATCGAACGTGCCCATTGTACAATATACATGTACAGAGCTGCTCAATGAAATCCAGTCACAGCGTCACTCAAGTTAGCGCTGGGCGTTGCGCAGCCCCAGACCTGCGAACACTGCGCTGCGGAATGATGCAAGGCGCAAATTTGAGTGACGCGTCTGGATTGCATTGAGCAACACTGTACATGCGCTGTGGGTCCAAGACCTTGTGCTTCTGGACCACCAACGAGGTCGAAACGACCCAATCAAGCTTGTCAGTGAAACAGTGATTTAGACAATCGCACGACTCAGTCGGGGTGATTGCGACTCGAAAGAAATATGCAACACAAAACTATATGTTGGGGTAGCTGCGACTCACGACACAATAATAGGATGAAACTAGAATACAGGATGGCCAAGCGGCCATTCGTGACATTGTGACTGTTACTTAAGTTGCAGAAGGCACAGTACAGACAGAAACGCACCAAGTTGGAGCAAGAGAACAGCTGCAGAGAACATACTCGCCAGGCGTGTTGAACACAATGGACATATTGCCGCAACAGTTCTGAAGCTGGTGACGGATACTTTCAGCAGTAGCGGGGACTATCAAAGCAGCGATTGTTGAAGCTGGGTTGGGCGGCACTGAATGGAACTCCTTTCCTGCATAGTTCTCCTCGTCAGGGCGACTCCAGCATTGTATCCAGAATTGCTGCTTTCGACTTCTTCTCCGCTTCAGTTGGTTGATTGTACGACGACAACGACTGCTCAGATTTGTGCAGTGACATCGTCATAATCACACGCGGTGCCACCTCGGCTTCAGCGAGCCTGCTGATGACTGATGCTCGGATGCAGTGGCTGTTGTACCGCAGGCCGAGCTTTGCTTTATCTGGAATGCAGGCCATCATCACTGCCATCGTGTTCTTCCCGAGCGGTTGCTCAGTATACTATGGTGCACTGTTGTGTGTTGCCTTCCGCTTGCACGCCATCTGGAACAGTCGGTCATGCTTTGGATGAAGCTTTTGTAGCAGAAGCTTGACTTTGGCGAGTTGCTCTGGTGACTGCTTTCGTCCGGCAGAAACTTCATCGCTGTCACTACTGCTACCCTGGTAGTTCTTCTGAGCAAATGCCGTGCTCAAGACGACGTACTTGCAAGTGCTCGCATCCATTACTTTCCTTCCTCACCTCCAAATCAGAAACACGAGGGAGGGAACGGATCTCTCTGCAGCATGCCGCGGGCGAAAATGGAACGTTTCAAGAAGCCAGACTGCGTTGGTCAGCGCACGACAGGATCAGTGTGTGACTGCTTGAAGCTGAAACTGAGAGCGTATCCAGAAAAGCTCTTAGTTTTCCGATTCGCTTCGTTCTGGACGGACTTCCAAAACGACGTGTACCCATCGGCGTAACAAAACTGCTGAACTGATGACAGAAGTCCGTACTCCTGTCCATCACAGAAGTATATTTTTCTTCGGTGCTCTCCGCGTCTTCTGAGAGCTTTCGTAATTCAGCCAGACTGTCCGAGGTCTCCTGAACATAATTTACAAAGCCAGCCTGGCCATGTCTTCATTGGTAATGGTGGCTTTGTGATGGACTGGCTTCACCTGCCCTTGCCGTTCCATTGCCTTCAGATGACCATCGAGGGTTTCGCTCGCATCCTGGAACTGTGGATCACGGAGTATGTTGATATTCCGCTTCAGAATACGGAGATGGCTTTGAATTACTATGCACCACCCCAGTAAGCCAGTAAGCTGGACCTGGAATAGGGCTACCTGTTCTTCTCACGTACCAGTAGCTCTACATACACACGGCGCAAGAAAGACGCCAGCTGCTCCTTGCTGCAGGTTGCGAAATCCGCGACTGTTCCCCTTAATTTCTGGTAGTACTCCACAGTCCCTTGCCACTTTTGTCTTTTGTCTTTGTGGTGGCCATCGCGGAATGGGGCATTCTGTTCCTACGGATTTCTTCCAGGTCTTCCTCTGAAACCTCGGCAAATTGTGCTGATTCTGCAGGTAGCTCAGCAATTGCGCGCATTAGTTGAAGTAGTTTGTTGAAGATGTCCTTGACCAGTAACTTCGCAATAAAGGTTTCAGTCTCTTCCTCGACTTGTTGGAGTTGCTCATTGGCATCGCCAATATCATCCAACCAACGGTTTTCCTCCAGCTCTACACCGTAATTTTAAGGCGACATGATGACAGTTGTGGTTGCGAACAGCTCGCTTTTCTCCGCGTTAGTTCTTGTTGGTTTTCTACGTAGTCACTCACGTGACTGTATCGCGTGTCCTAGTATTTACGAAACATTCGCCAAGTTCGTGAACCAGTGGACAAAGACTCTGTTTAGTGTCTACTGTCCCCGTCTGCACTTGATGGCGGGCAGTGAAATTTGTTCCATCGCTGTTAGGCAGGCAGAATAGCGCTTTCTGGCCCGCTCAGTTTCTGCTGTCATTTGTCGACCCCAAGGCGACGGGTCGCGTGACATACGGGAAGTGGCGGCGGTTCTGAAACTGGGTGCTAGTGGTTGCTGAGCAGCTGTGTTATGTGTGTCACTCAGCCTAGACAAAATGTTGTGCTCGTTTTCCCATGTGTGTATGTGTGTGTGTGTGTGTGTGTGTGTGTGTGTGTGTGTGTGTGTGTGTGTATGTGCATGTGCATGTGTGCGCATGTGTCACTGTGCGTGTGTACGTGCAGGGAGAGTCAGACATGGCAAGACCTGGGTGCACGCTGGCGTTCAGCATCCCAGTCGATGAAGGTGAGTGCAGCTCGTTGCTACATGAGCGTGCTACAAGCACGCAGAAATCCAAAGCCGGGAACAGATTATTGTTTTGCTTTGTGGCCGCGTGGCACCGAGCGCTTTCATCTATGCTTCTATGTGATATCAAGAGTCCCTAACCCCCAAGAATGTGTAACTGCGTGTGCAATCGCTATCCAGTGCTGCGACGGGGAAGGTGTACCCTGGATACTGTAGAGTTCCACTCGTCATGAGTCGAAGTGTTTGGTTTGCTAACAGGGCAAAGGGACCACCAGAGAGTTGAACACAAAGCAGAGTTCAGGGCCGCCGAACTGGTCCGGTGGGTCAGGTTATCACCGGACCAACATTTTAGCCATCAACACAAGTTGACTACTATGGGGGACATGTGACATGTGTACCCGCCATATCATACACAACTTAGTATGAAAGGCACTGAAACTACTGGACCAATCAAGAACTGCTTCCGGCGGTCCTGGATCTGCATACAACCATGTGACTACCATGCATAGGGTGCAAATAGTGTGTGCGGATTTGGCACGAGATGTGACGTTCTACAGTCTCAGACTCCCATAGATTAGAGTGCCACACACTGTATAAGAGGGAGGGGGGGGGGGGGGGAAGGGGTACTCCTTGTGATAATCCTGTGGCTGCAAGTGCAGCTGTCCTCAGTGGAACGTTGACGGGCAGGTGTGCACTGTGCAGTGTAATGCGATCAGTTCCGCTGTGCTGGTACTCGCATACCCAAGCATACCTGCTAGGATTGCCCGCAGAGCAACAGGTTACCAAGTACCCTCGTACCTCGCTTATCCGGGCGATCCAGGACCAGTCACTGTGCGTAACTTCGAAATGTCCGTAACTCCGATCACATACGTTTTGATGGGGGGAAAAGCCATAGATATGGTATAATTATAACATCACTGTTTCAACAAAAGTGACAAAAGAGTAGTAATACTTCCATTGAAACTCGCCCAAAGGGTGTGCGGTAGACTAGTAAAGTGCCCGTAGGTTTGATGTCCGGATAACTGAGCTCTGAGTGTGTACGCCGTGACACCAGGTTGCCAACAAGTTTGGTCCAGTTATGGTAGGTGCTTCTGATAATTCAACACTCTTGTACTCCAAGAAGTGGTGCATTGTGTAGGGGTTGGTGGCCAAACGTTGAAATCGCTACTACAGTACCTATGTTCAAGACTTGCCATCCGCTTGCCTATCTCTCACACGCTATCTCGTCTTTCGTGGCGAAAGACGTTCGAATGGCCGCAAGACCGGGGTTCTACCAAAGGTGGAGGTTGTAGTAAGGAGCACTGTTTTCGAACACAGTGCGTCCTCCGCCTTGTAAGGCCATCATTTTTTATATCTATGTTTCGCGTCAGTTCAACTTCCAGAATCATATGCGAGAGGTGGAAAAAAATATAAAATTGCAAAATAATAAAAAGGCTCATCAGAGGTGTATGCACTGTACATAGCACAATAGCTCGTGCATGGTGTACATTCGAAAGAAAAATCGTACATCGAAGCACAACATCTGGGTTATCAGCATGAGTAAATATTCACTTTGGACAGAGGAAGCAACTGTTGGTGCCTATGCTTCGCTGGAATATTGTACTCAGACTTCAGCAGCGGTGCAAAGAGCTCCGGAACGACGCATCCTCTCAGCTTAGGCGATCAATGCGGTCTGATGTAAGCTCGTAGAACATTGCTCCCTGATGCCGAACAAACGATTTACCAACGCTTGCCTAGGCTAGAGGCCATTTCTGAACCCCAGCTTCGCCGTATGCAACCTGTCCACACTGATGACTCACACGATCGTACACTCACTGTGCATGTTTGATTTTTTATTTTTTTCCGAAAAAAATCACAACGTATGCGTGCGGACGACGCGAAACATAGCTATAAAAAATGATGGCCTAACATGCTGTCAACCAAACGCCCTATCTCGTCTTTGTGTGTGCGTTTTCCGTTTTCAGGACAAGTTCTCTCAGCAGCGGTCCTACTCCGAATCGTCGCAGAACCACGAGGCAGAGGAGAGCCAGTCGTACTCCAACACACCCTCATGAGCTGCCCACTGGCACCGCTAGCGCCTGCATCAGTTCACCACTCACTGCTGGCGTGCCCTCAGAGTCGGCTGTCACCACACTCACACTCTACACATGGCCTCTCCTGTGCACGGCTCTCTACCCGCTGCTGCTGCTACACTCACTCATCACCACACTCAGGTATTGTCAATGAATCTACTTTCAGGCGCTTACTAGCCTTGTGCTTTTTTTAACGTTCAAATTTTTTACTCCGCATTTACCTTCCCTTTTTTTAATCAAATGCTCAGCTATGTGGTAGTACCACTATGCGTTGTTTTTACCTTCATTAGAAAGCGCTTGTTCTTCCTATTGCGTACAAGAACGAAAGAAATAATTTTTATCCGCGCCCTAACACGTCAATCCCCCCCTCCTGCGGACGCCGTGCATTCGAATCAACTGCGCGTGGCGAGAGTAAGTAGTCGATGTGTTTGCGGTTCACGTGACTTACACGATTGTTTTACCTGTGGATTGCGTTATTGTTTTACTGCGGCTATTTCCTAAAAAGCTGTCACCTTCAGGTGCTTGTATTGCAGCACATGGTGCCCGCGTATTTGCCGGGAGTCTTGACCCGAGTCCCTGTTTTCGTCTTGCTGTCATTCGCCGCTTGGAAGCCTGTAATGACGTTGGCTTGGCGGACACTAGAGTAGTCTTGCTTGAGGCGCTTTTTGCCTCCGATTCTCTCTGTCTCCTCTGTCTCTTTCTCTCTCTCTCTCACACACACACTCTCTCTCTCTCTCTCTCTCTCTCTCACACACACACACACACACTCTCTCTCTTTCTTTCTCTCTCTCTCTCTTTCTCTCTCTCTCTCTCTCTCTCTCTCTCTCTCTCTCTCTCTCTCTCTCTCTCTCTCTCTCTCTCTCTCTCTCACTCTCTCTCTTTCTCTCTTTCTTCTTATTCTGCTTTCATTGCCCGAGCGTTGCTCATCTCATGTCCTGCTGTGGATGGATTTGAAAATTGCGAGTCTCCAAAGTTGTGTGTTTGTGTGAGATTGTGTGTGATTATTGCAAGGAGCAATGAGCAACCAAAGGTCAAAGGCGTGCATGCTTGCATGCATGTGTGGGTTTTCCCTGGGACACTCATGCAACACGGAAAATTGATGATCCTGGTGAATGGTGATAGTGTATGAACTAACCCTATGTGCTGTGGACTTTCCGCTTCCACTGATTGCAATGATGCGCCATTCAGTACTAGTATACAGAGTATTGGATACTGTACCAGTACTTACCCGGGTTGTAAGAGCGCACACAGCACGGGTGGGTGGTTGTAACGCACGCACATGACCAGAGTCAGTGCACAGTATGCACAGTTACAGCTAGCTAGCTAGCTAGCTAGCCAGGATCCAAACCTGTCATACCGGTATTGCTAGCTGAAGCCTGTGTCCGTGGGGCTCTCTCTCTCTCTCTCTCTCTGTCACCTACGTACTACAGCAGTACACACTAGTACACCATGGTACACGGTTGTTAGCAGGTTACAATGCAATCATAATATTATTATAGCTATTAAGACTGGGTAGTTGTGTAGGGGGCGGCTGTATGGCCTGCTGCATGTGGACTAACGGTACGGTGGTGGTGGTGGTGGTGTTGGTGGTGGCTAGGCTGCTACCTTACCACTGTACTTGTACTGCCAATGGCTCACCTAACGTCATGCTCTGCAGGTGTTGTTGTGTAGAGCAGGTGGCCACCAGGCTGCAGTAACACCAGTACCCTACTCCGTGGTTTAGAACACGGAACCCTTGCTGTTATAGTTTGTTTAAGTTGATTAGCTATTACTCTTAGCGTTTATTGCTGGTTTTGAGCCCTGCAGAGAGAGAGCACTGGGTGTGACTATTGCAAGCATGCTGTGAGGTTCACGTCAGTAGTACATGTAGCTGCATGGGGCCCCGGGCGCCCAGGGACTGCCATGGAGTATTTTGTTTTGCCCTGCAACTGCAGGATGCTTGCTGCACAGCATGGTTGCATGGGCTCCCCCCACCGTGATGCTTGCGGCAACTGGCCTCCATTGACTTATTCGAGTTATTGTCCCGTTGTGTTCTTCCTGGTCCCCGGCACCTTATGCAGTTATGGCATGGTAGGGGGCAGAGCTCCACTTCCTTTTCCATAATTATTTTGTGTTGTGGCGTGGCGTGCATGTACATGTACGATGAGTACTTACTACTTAGTCGTTTCCCCTGCACACCGTTGATGTAGACCTAAGCTACCATGCTTGCACTGAAATCATACTGACTGGGCCAGATAGCTATGCACCAGGAAGTAATGAGTTATGCCCAAACCAAAGACTATACCCGCCAGCCACTACTTATTATGACTGGCTAAAGTGCCTGTACATTGTACATGTACATGTACTAGTAGTAAGTGACAGTTGAATAAAGGAGATGCGTACACTCTCAGTGCTTAGAACTCTGATCAGACGTACTGTACTACAGTCAACTTTGCTAATAACGACTGCGGATATAACGGCAATTCGCGAATAACGACAGAATTTCCATGCCCAGAGCAAAGTCCCATCTAACTGTAATACATATAATGAGACTTCGGGTATAAGGACACTTTGCGAATAAGAACACTTTTCTGATGCCCCGCCGAGAGTGTCGTTACACGCAAAGTAGACTGTATAAATTAAAATTCGACGGGATTCGCGTGCCGGGCAGGTCAAGAACAAGGAGTCGTACAACTCCCTGGTCAAGAACCACCTTTCCGCTTCCGTGGGACACCACCACCCCATGATCAGGCGTCAGATGCGGCTCCTAGACGGTGGGGGAGGATAGATCAGATCCACCAACCAGAGGCCAATTGGCCAAAGGCCTCGATCCCTTTTGCCACATTAGACTGCACACTACAGTAAAAACCTGTCATGGCGATCACTCTAAAAAGGCGACCACCTGTCCCAGACGACCATTGCAATCAAGACCAAGGCCAGGGTAGGGGGTAGGGTCCGGCGGATTCTGCCGCCAGAAAAATTGGCAGAATTCGGTACTTTTTCTGGTAAAGTTTCATGCATGTTTGGTATGTGGATAAAAAAAATGGAGCAGAATTCGAGGAATTGCCCGCCATAAGGTTTGTACGGTCTGCCAATTTCACTGCTTTTCGAGCAGAATCCGCCGGTCCCTAGTAGGGGGTGTTTACGTGCAGTCAAATGACCCTTGATAAGAAGATCACCAGGCAGTGTGTTAACAGAGACCACACTTTGAAGGTCCATTGAGCAGTCGTTTTTAAACAGATTTCACTGTAGTACTGTAATTTCACAAATTTTCGGTGTACTTTTGGTGTGTCTGTTTCATACCTAAAACTTCAATACACCGAACAAACACTAACACACAATACACTGTAATCCAATAGGGAATTGCTCTCTGTACCTACAATTTCTGTTCACCTAACCTGGCCGTTTTTGCCCTCGTACCGAAAATATTGAACACCAAAAATTCTGAAATTGGAGTACCCACATGACACAGGAAAGTGTTTGTTGTGTCCATTATGTACTTCTATCCAGAACCAGGGGGTAGTAAAATAGTTATAACGTTGCGGTCATGATTTTACTACTCCCTGGTTCTGACCGAGCACACTTCAGTGCGGATCCGTACACCCAGGGCTCCGGGTAGGGCGGCCAATGTCCCATAAAGCGAGAGTGTGGAGTTCGTACTAAAGTGAGTGAGTATTCCACTGTGCCAGTATTTTGTGAAAACTTTTAATCACAATTTAGGGGCCACCCGGCATTATCGATATAGTTTTTACGAAGTGAAAAAGTTTAGTTAGGAGGACTGTACCATCAGGAATAACAATGAAACTGCTGTATTCGCTAAAAATAAGAACGGGCTTGGCTAGAACCCTGACCCCTCAGTTCTTCGGCACCCGACAGTACTGTAATTCTCTTACTCTTGCCCATGTACCGTAATGTCATATTAATATTAACGCCACAACACGAAATAACGGGCTTATTCCTGTAGAAGCCGATGTCAGTGCTAGGCTTCTATTCAAGTCAGGCTACTATTCAAGTCAGGCTACTATTCAAAACCAGTATCTCTATGTATGTCAACACTAAAACCAGGCTTATGTGCCGCCAGTGCATCTTGAAAATCAGACTTGTGTTCAAAACAGGCTGCTGCATTGTATAAATGTCTATGAGACCAGGCTTTAATACAAGATAACTTACTACAGTATGCATGGCATGCGTGCGTGTGTGTGTGTGTGTGTGTGTTCATGTATGTGTGTGTGTGGGTGTGTGTGTGTGGGTGTGTGTGTGTGTATGTGCACCTATTGCCAAAGGGCGTGCAAACAAACTCAGGCGTTGACTGCTCCCGGTATGTACATGTATGACTGACATGGATATGGGCTATATCACTGTGTGGTGCTGATGTGCCGCAGTACACAACTGGTACATGTAGCATGCAGCACAAAGTTCCACACCAGGCCGGAACTGCTTTCCAGACTGCAGAGTGGCCAGAGCACTACTGGTAACATGTTGCTTATTGCTTTCAAGTGTTTTGAAGCGACTGCAAAGTGTGTGTCCACTTGTGACGTCACCTAGGCTAAGACCACATGCACCATGTGAGCATGATGACCAGAAGCGGCACCTGCCTGGTCATCATCAGTCACAACCTACTCAGTATGTTGCAGTATTCCAGACTGTAAACAAATACTAAGACTAGTAAGAGTGTGGAGTTTACTCTTGGTATTACCATGAGTATAAGCTTACAGTGGTATTATTATACTCTTGGTATTACAGAACAGAACAACAAGGACAATCAAGGCTTGTTTGCTGCTACTTCAAGCAATAGTTTCATGCTTCATGCAATCATCAGGCAACACCCTTGGTATTAATATTTAGTACATTGTTACCTGTGTACATGTACTGTTGTAGGCTGAGTGAGAAAAATCTGTTTGTTGTTTTGGTTTGATCACTTTTTTAAAAGTCTTTGATACATCACATGATCAATCGTCACCAGGGAGCCCTACATATTAGTACATGTATGTGGGCACAAGTTACGTCATGCACATCTGTGTCACGTCAGGTGACTCAGGTGACAGTCACTACAGCCCATTCATTATAAGTGTGCACTGTTATCTGGTTACTAGTAATAGTAGTATTACATGCTCCCATCATACGACTATGTACAAATACGTACAAATACAAGGCTTTTTTTCTAAGTGAATGCACGCTTGCTTGCAGCTCCTTTTCTCAACGCATCCACGTGGATGGGGTATTCCCCTGTCAGGCTGGCGCTGGCCAACATGTAGAATCCATGGGGCATACACAATGGCCCTTTGACTGGATGGAAAAGAGTGCACACTTAGAATGATAGCAAGAGTACATAACTCTTGATGATAGTGAATGGACTGTAGTGACAGGTCACTAGCCACCATGTACATGTACATGTGCCAGGCCGGGGCCAGTCATCTGCCCTGGTCATTGAAACGAGAGAGCTTGAAAGCTCAGGGCCTAGCTAGGGCCCTACGACGCTATGCCTTTTTGCCTTGATGACCTAGGCAAAAAAAGCATAGGGAATTATAAATTTTTCATTTCTCCTATTTTTTCAAGAACCTGGGATTCGAACCCGCACTATCACCATGCATGATCACCCTGCAGCCTGCATGCATCCCCCGATACACTTCGCATACATACCGGTACTAATTCTTCCAAGTAATTATTAGTTGCTTCACGTTATGATCTTGCAATTCAAAGCCCTACTAGTATTTGAATATCGTGGCCAGCTGTTTGTGGCCACTGGCCAGCCGTCTTTGATGGTACGGTACGGTACGGGACAGATACGGTCGAGGGTAATACGACACCGTCTACCACCTTAATGACCTGGGCCAAAAAAAGCATATCAAGTTTTCAATTCTCCCATTTTTTTTAAGGCATAACCTGGGGTTCGAACCCGCGCTATCGCCCTATATGCATTCCCTAATACACTTCGCATTCATACTCATTCTTCCAAGTAAGTAACGTTAGTTACTTCACGTTATGATCTTGCTTTTGAAATCCCTATTTGAATATTGTGGCCAGCTGTGTTTAATGGTACGGTACGAGACAGATGCGGGATAGCGCCATGCGTGACACAAACCAAAGTAAAAGCTGTGTGGACCCTGCCTGGTAATGGCTAGCGCCAGACGTTACCAGTTATTGACAAATACTCGTACATTAATTTTGAAATAATTGACAAATACTCGTACCAGTAATTATTTCAATGCATGACTACAAATTCAAGTACAAAGCTAAAGTCAGACCCAAGGGGGGGGGGGGGGGGGCTGGAGTCAGATCATGCAGCCGCACTGCTGAGACTACAGACTCAATACTGTATTCTAGAAAGACATTCACTACGCTAGCTGCTCTGGTGTGTTCCTGGCTCTCATCAAACGATTCAAAGACAAAGGGGGAGAGACAGGGGTGTGCGCGGGTACCACGAACGGATAGGATCTGAGGAGGCGCTCAGGAGATTTCCTGGGACAGGGTGAAATGAATGCATGCTTGGTCATGATGATCAAGATGTTCATGTACTCTCAAGCATGGGATGCATTTTTTTTATTTCATCCACCGGCCCTCTTTCAGCCCTAGCCCGGCGCCCACGCAAAGCGGCAATGAAGTACTTGACACTGCCACTACACACCACTACATGTACTAGCTTGCGATTCCATGACGAAGGCAAACAGGTGCAAACACATCTCCTGATCATTGATGACTGAGCAAAGGTACAGACTTCGTCATGTTTGCAGATACCAACTCTTGAAGACTTGGAGAGCAGCTTATTTGAAGCTATTTACTTTTCCCATAGGGGTATCCTGGTTGTACAAGTCTGTCCCTGCGGGAATTTGCGGAAAAAACGCTCGAAAACTTGCGCAAGAAATTGCGGCAGAAAATAACAAAAAATGCGACGAAAAGTGCGGAATGATGCAGAACTTGCCAGGAATTCGCGGATTTATTTGCAGAAAATTGCGGATTTGGGCCAAATCACGAAATTTGTTGCATCGTATATCTACTCGGGAGTCGTACTGTGCAAATAACCTACAGGATCATGGAAAGAACTGCGGAAAAGTGCATACAAATGTGAGATATAGTACAGGAAACAACAAAAAACGCGGGAAATAGCGGATTTTGCTGAAAATCGCGGGTTTGGGCCAAAATCGCGAAATTTGTTGCATCCGTGGAATCGCGATTTCCTGGAGGGTCAGACAAGTACAGGGAAAACGCTGTACATCATGGACGTCTGTACAGGGTAGTACAGATTCAAGCATGGGCTAGAAAAATACCAACACTAGTAAAACAAGTAAGGTTCCTATAAACAGGACCGACAGGTCAATGTCATGCATGATTGTAGTGGATTGGGTCGACACAAGGCACACGACCAGATGACGTACACACCGTTCCTTGCTGCTGCAGATACCATGGATACATGTACTTATGTGCTGCAATGTGGTCATGTTTGTAAATGTGGTCGGTATTATGTGTGTTGTGCGACATGAGACGTTGGATGGCTATGATGTGAGTGATGGGTTATGCACCATGCATGCATGATGTGATGCTAGAAGAAACACAGAATCCACCAGGTAGCAGCAGTACACCTCATTGCAGTCAGGAGAAACACCTGCAACAGCAGTCACCACACGTGTACACACCCCCCACACACACGTACTCATACAGGCACACATGTGCGTACACACACTGACACACACCATGATACACATACTCACACACATGTACGTACACACACTGACACATACTCAGGTACACACATGTGCACACACCGCAGTTGGAACAACACACCTCATTACAGCCTGGAGACACCACGTTAAAAAAGCAGCAGGGCGACGTGGGAAGAAAATGGCAGTGAACCCTACCACACACACACACACACATCCACTTTGCAGTCGGAACAGGTTACAGACAGCTCAATCAATACAGTGGCGGCAGACAGTCGAAAGCCTGACTCTCAGACAAGGAAATGGAAGGGAGCACAGACTTGAGTGTATCTACAGCGGCTGCACAGAGAGAGAGAGAGAGAGAGAGAGAGAGAGAGATGTGCTCTTTGTGCGCACAATGTCTTATCCGCAATGCACACAGCACTCAGTAAACTATACACGTCACTGCATTGCACACAGACAATAAACCAAAGCAAAACTCAACAGCACATTGCATACAGACAATAACCAAAGAACTCAACAGCACTTGTCTCTTTTGACAGGCACTCCCACACCGCCTTTCAAGCTGTCACTGCCAAACTTTGTCCACCAGCACAAAGAACAGTATCATTGCAGAGGACCACAAGCAAGCGGACAACGCACTGCATCATTTCACAAACCGGTTTTCAGCTACAATGCAAACGCACACGGCAAGTTCCCCAACAATAAAAAGGAAAGCTAGATGTTGGCGGCAGCGGTCCGCGATGTTGATTCAGAAGCGGACAGGGCGTCATACAGATTCCAAGGAACATGGGCGTATTTACACTGCTGTGCACACACACTCCGTGCGGAACAGCTGATTCACGCCAACAAACAGCAGAAACAACAGCAGAATGAAAACAATACAAGAGCCATAGAGCACATACACACACACGGGCTCCCCTATCACATTATACAAGAAAACGTTTCAAACGGTTTGTGCCCATGCCAAACGGCACACATCACCGACGCCGGCCATGGCCAGCAAAGCACAACACGCACATGTGTACACACAGAAAGAGAAACACAGGGACCCGCAAGGTCCACAGTAGCAACGCTCACACTATCGCATCGGATAATCGCCGCACACAAAGGTGTGAACTGTCGTCCGTGCTCACGGATCGCCAAGGAAACAAGCATGCCGCGCGCACAGCGAGAGGTTTGAACGTGACTTCCAACCCAGCAGGCAGCATCTGAGTGTCAGGACAGAGCCTACAGCCTTGTCAACACCTGACAAGAAAGTCACGTTAGTTGACGTAGTATACTCCAGGGTACTAACAGAGGTAGGTACATGTATACAGCACACTGTAAGTACTTTACAACACAAGGGAGTACTCCGAGGTAGAGTAAAACCTGTCGGACCACTCGGATAAGGCGACCACCTGTCCTAAAAGCCCACTGCAACCAGGACCAAGGGATGCTATTTCCAGTCAAATGACCCTGGATAAGGAGACCACCTGGTAACAGAGACCACATTTTGAAGGTCCCTTGAGCGGTCGTCTTAGACATGTTTCACTGTAGTACGTAGGTTTTGCACTGTACTACTCCTCCCTGGTATGCACTACTTACTTTGTACACCAAACTGGTTTTCTTAGAAGCTGCGACGAACTATTGGTTGGCCATTTAAGAAAAGTAATTAAAAATATGTTGATTTGAAACACTCCACAACACCAAAACGATCAAAGGAAATTCGTTCTCGGATAGACGTGGGCCAAGAGTGCAGCATGGAGTGGTGGAGTGTTCCAAATTATTACTTGTGTCCGGGTCAGAGATTTATACGCGGAGATGAGGCTGTCTACGTACGTCGTGGCACACGCAAAGAAAAAGTGTACGGATCAGCTGTGCATTCTTCAAATAAGGGAGAACAGTGCCAAATTTGGAATGAGAAATTCACAGTACCCATTCCACTTGATTTCTTCGCATGAATGTAGAGCAGAACAGGTTTCTCATACGTTACGGAAACACGAAGAGTGATCAAGGGCTCCGTCCCGTCCCGTTTCCGTAACGTATACGCATTTCGCAGTACATGTACGTGTGTAGCAACATGTTAAACACTTGATACACGTAACGGGTACAGGGAAACTGACATGTAAATGATTATCGCAAAAAAGACACACACGTACAAAAACATACAACTTATTATAATTTTTTGTAACAAAAACGTCATTATTTCATTTTGTTGCTCGAGTTACACGACATGAGACTGTAATATTTTCACTGTGCATGCAATCATGCACCTACAGGCTACATCGAGACAAAAGAATCTTGATGTAGATCTACAAAGCTCCCACTTTCCTTGAGCTTCGCTTTCTACACAACGTCACTAACCAAGAGGAGAGGGTGACTGGCAGTCAACTGTTGTCGGCATTTCGTTCGAAACAAGACTATAGCACGCACGGTGTATACTGTATATCCAAGACAAATGACAAAGAGTACGTACCTGATAGCCAAACTCAATCAGTGGGTCGATCATTGAACCCCGATCCGTCAGCAAAAGACTAAAGGAACTCGATACTGTGCCAGTTTTGCAGGATAGCACCTCTGATGGATGGCAGCCTATCCTGTACGGACGCCTGTAGTCTCTAGTGTAGATCAGCGACTTTCGAGGCTCTGGAAGTGGAAGCCTACATCATGTTGCGGCCCATGTGGGAGAAGAAACGTTAGTTCGGCCACCATCGTCATCGACCAAAGCCGGCGCGGGCAAAGGCTGGCAAATTGCAAAGGCAAAGGCAAAGAGCAGTGCTCGATCGAGCACAGAATACAAAAAACCAGTTCAAACTTGAAAGCATAAAAAGCGCCAAATTCGCACTCCCTCGCATTGTGTATGCATGTCCTGGCAGACTACATGATGCATCCCACCAAACAAACAGTGGCGCGCTTTGATTTGGCCGCACGCAGGACATTTCAGGTGGTTGAACTAGAAAATCGTGCGATCTCGATCTCGGCGGCGATCGGCCACACGACGGCCAGTACAGTATACACATGCCATGAGTACGTACACACATATCCATATGGCCATAGCCCCTATACCTGCATCACTTCACCCCCCGCCATACGGGCAAAACTGGTTTGGTTCTAGATCTCGCAGCCAATCAGCAGCCTGGATTCGGCTCTCACGTGAGTATTGGGCCAATCAGCGACTAGCAGTCAGCCTGGTAGGCTAGCTTCGGACCAGGTTTTTTAACCATCACGAACTGGAAATGAAAATCGTCGTCGCAAGGATTACAAAAATACCAGGCAGGGATGTTTCTACATCACTTTACTTTATTCTCCAAGTCTTCATCATGATGTTCGTTTCTCTTCAAAGCTTACCTCTTGGACGTTGGGGTCATCTTGGTGGTCGTTGGACCGAGCCGTCTGTGCGATAAATTTGTTGTGCTAGGCCGCGTCGTCGACATCATGACCCAGAAGGTAAAATTCTGAAATATTTTGAGAAGAGTATTAGGAACAATAGGTATTCAGCTACTTTTCCCTTCCATGTTTTTTTTGCTGTTTGCAGAAGTCTCTCCCCGCCACCTTCATGGCCGGAGCCATCAGTGGTACCTGTTCAACGCTTCTTCTTCAACCGTTGGATTTAGTCAAGACCCGTCTTCAAGTTCGCACCACTGCATCAGCTACATCTTGTGGCGTCGCACCGAACCCCATGCTGTAAGTAGCCCCGAGACATCTCGAGCGAATTTTGTGTTCTCAGTAGTAGTTGAGTTGAGTTGTAGTTGAGGCTGCTAGCTTATACATCTAGCTATAATTAATTTCCTCTTACCTTTCCTCAACCCTTCCTCTTGGTCTGACATATTTTCTGTTCCCGCCATATGACTTTTGGCCATTGTTGTATGAATGCAAAAAATATTTTCCTCCCTTGTGCTATTGATGTTCAGGGTTCGTGGAGGAATGGTTGCGACGTTTACCACCGTCGTTCAACACGAGAAGCTCTCAGGCCTATGGCGAGGACTCTCACCAGTAAGGATCATGCGTTGCCATTCTCATGTCTTTCGTTCAATGTGTATTTTTGACTTTTTCTTTGCCAAATGTCCTTGTACGTGTGATTGCGAACTGAGTCCTTGTGCTAATCGTGCATTCTCGTCTTTTCTTTTCTTGCGCAGTCTTTGTCCCGCTGTGTTCCTGGCGTCGGCTTGTACTTTACAACACTGACGGCCTTACAACAAACAGTCGTTCCGTAAGTATAGCTGTTTCACCTTGACTTTCTGCTTTTCGATTTGTACGCAGGCACGGCGGTTGTATTGTTTTGTAAAGAGCCATTGTGTGTACGATTTTACTATTGCGTGGGTAGTGGCATGGTGTCGTTACTTCGTCATTGCGGAGGATGTGTACTGACACTCAAACTTTTTTTATTTTATTCTCCAGGGAGGATCGTAAAGCCACGGCCTTTGAGGCCCTTTGCATTGGCGGACTAGCTCGCTCTCTTACTTGTGGAGCCCTACTACCCATCACCGTCGTCAAGACTCGATTCGAGGTAAGGCAACGTTACTCTCCAAGTCGAGTGTCTTGCTGGCTTTTTTCTCGGATTATTTGTTGTGGGTTAATTTTTATCTTGCAATGGGAACCGTTTTCAGATTTATCAATCATTGTGTTTTTTGTTGTTTTGCTGTATAGAGCGGAAATTTCCAGTATTCCAGTGTTGTTGGAGCACTGAAGAATGTCAAGACCCAGGAAGGTTTCCGTGGTCTGTACAGCGGATGCTATGCCACTCTGCTCCGTGATGCCCCATTTTCAGGCCTCTACTACCTCTTCTACTCTGAGGGAAAGAAGGCCCTGGACGATTTCCACCAACGTAAGTAGTTTGACTACAGTACTGTCGGTCGCCGAAGAACTGGGGGTCAGCCTCCTAGCCTGGGCCATTCTTATTTTCATGTATCAGTATTACAGTCTATGGGCAGTTAAGTCACCATGTATACATTGGTATGCAGAGCTTGGTGGTGAATTCTAGCCTGGATGTTCTTGGGCGCTCCGTTCTTCGGCGCCCGACAGTACTGTACTACGTCTTACTGCGTGTAGCAAGGGCAACTTTTGAGTTTGAAGGGCCACACTGGATAAATATGAATTCGTCATCGAATCATCTGCTGTCGACAATCAATGCATGGACCAGTACGCGATGATTTCAATCCATGCGTGTCATGTTTTTGTGGACATGGTGACATGTAATCTCACAGGAAAGTAATATTCTGTCCCCGGGGAAAATTGCGGAAAAAATCGCAAAAAACGCGGCATAATTTGCGGTAAATATGCGGTGAATAATATTGATGTGCGGCAATTTTCAGTGAGTATGTAGTGAAATCAATCAGTTACAAGTCTCTGGTGTAAGCACTCGTCATATTTGAGAAAAAAGCCGCCACGATGAGACGTTGCTGACCGAACAGTGCACTGTGTGTACGTGTAGTGCAACAAAGTTCAAAAACGCGGGAAAATCACGGAAAACGCGGTCTTAAAAAATCGCAAAAAACGCGGCCGCGGAATTGCAATTTTCCCCGGGGACAGAATATTATTATTTCCCGTTTTGATTTCTGAAAACAACATGATAGCACTGATCCCTTGGCCTGTCATGGATTTGTTTCTATCATGTCCTTTACACACTGTGCTGAAATATGATTGTGTATATTCATGCATCCTGAAATGGTCTGTGCTAATTTTCATGCCTTTGATTTTTTTGTTTTCGTGTAGGCAATGGAATGGAGCAGTTTCACACATCGATGCAGTTTGGCGTAGGATTGTTGGCCGGTATTCTGGCCTGTGGCATCACACATCCTGCTGATGTAGTCAAGACCCGGCTGCAGAGCCAGATTCAGCGATCCAGCACCATCTCGGTCGCCATGCAAATCTATCAGGTATGTTGAGCGATTGCCAACTTGCAGTCTACCTAAATTAATAATTATGCTTATCGCTGGTTCTGTCAGTGAGTGCTAGTTTTAATACCACGTGGGCTGGGTATGTATATTGTATACACATGATATGAGTTTTTGGCATCTTTACATCGCATATTTTGATCGGGTTCCGTTCATATTTGTTTTCTTGCTGTTTCCTTGTGCTCTACTCCTGTGCGGTATCTGATGTGTTATTTTGTGTTTCTGTCTTTTTCTGTGCAGAATGAAGGCATTGCCACCTTCCTGCATGGCTTTGCGCCGCGCGTCATGCGTCGTTCCATCAACGCAGCGCTGGCCTGGACTCTGTTCGACTATGTCCTTTCGCAAATGCAGCTGAAGTGAAAGCTCGCGCCAACCTGTGAGCACAGCTGCTGCTATGACATACAGTCTTGCTAGATACATTTTCATGCATTTTTTTCATTGTTGATGCATTGTTGTTAGGTCTAGTCCCTGATTGGCGGAGCTTGTTCTATCGCTTCGCCCCAACCCTCCTATTACTACACGATGCACTCACCCACATCTAGCCATGCACTACACCTCTAGGTCGTACTAACCCTCTCACACTTCTTTAGCTAGGACTGCCCCCTCCCTCATATCCCAGTCTATATCTATTTTTTGCTGTTGCATTCCTCACCGCTGTAGCGTTTGCGCGACTGATCTGACCCTAGAAAAATCTCAGAGCCCCCAATTGTATTGTCATATCTGCATTGGTCCGATCATACCGCCAGAATCCTCTGTTCTATTATATCATAGGTTTGAACCGAGATCAGCTGTTATTATAGTTTGCAACGGCCATTGGCACTATATTGTTTGTATGTATGTCTTGTTTTTATGTGTTTTTGACTCTTCGGGTACCTGATCTACCTTGTCTAAACATTTTTTTATGGATCAGATTTGAGAGCCAATAATAATAATTTATGATACAGGATCTGGATCCATATAAACAGGCCATGGAGAGTTCCCCCTGTTGACTGCACTATGAGCAGGATTTAGTACCAGGCCAGGGTCTTTACTTTGCTTGTATATCATTCAGCACGTGCATGCTGGCCTGGCTGGTACAGGGTTGTATAAGACTAAATTAAGAACAAATAATTCCCTTTAGCTTGCAAACAAATTCATCCGAGCTGAGCATGGTTATTGAGCTATCTTTTCGTGAAAGCGCTCTCACGAAAAGATAGCAACAATGCACATGTCACCACTACTCCAGTTTACAGACAGTACGAGGTGAATAGCAATTTCTGGACATGAAAATTAAATAGAGGCCCACTGGCTGTGTGTTTTACATTTTTCATATCTTTTTGTATCTATTGTATGGCCTAATCCTTCATCTTTCCAAATATGTGACAATTGCTCATGCTGTGATCCCAGAGACTTTATAGCAGGATGTTTTCGACAGGCCAATTTTTTGGCCTAAATTTCAGTGTATGGAATTCTGGACATGAAAGTAAAATAGCGTCAATAGGCATCCTATACTGCACCATTTTTGTTATTTTTTCTATTGGTGGACTGCAGTTGGCCTCTTCACACTTCCAGCCAACAGGTCCAAGACTATACAGCGTCTGAAGTGAAGTGCACATGGGGAAGCCAACGATTCGTCCATTACTTCTTATTTTACTCAAAATTCAAAATTCTCATGCGACATAGTACCACAAAACTCGTTGAAATGCCTCCCAAGAAAAGGCTATCAACACGGCACCGACACGAGGAGAAACTACAACAGCCCAGCTGTCAACTACAACAAGAAAAAACTTCATCAACCTGACTGACTTGACTCTACACGCGACGAAAAATTATTTTACTCGAAATGTCCAGAAATGTACAATGTCCAGAAATAGAAATTCACCTCGTACAGTACTAGTATACTGACTCTGAGTGTAATGTATAATATCAAGAGTAGATAAACAAGAGTGTGCAACTCCGGATCTCTCCTGCACAATCTGCAGATACCCCCGCCCACGGCGGAATTTTTTGTTGACGTCACCTTTTTTCAGAGAAACGCGGAATTTGCCGCAGAGCAGTGTGAGAGCACGTGCTGGGCACCGACCTTGTAGTGTAAAGCCCGGCCAAGTGCACGAGGGAAACCTCTCCAAAAGGCTCGCAGCGCGTGCGTCGTCGAAAAGATTACGTCAACAAAAAATTCCGCCGTGGGCCAACCCATCCGCGAGTTGCACACTCTTGTTTATCTACTCTTGATAATATGTATTGTATAGGTATGGCCAAAGAATTCCGACCTGAGAGTCAAAAGTAGCACACGACAGGCAAATCCACGTGCACCGGGAGGGAAAGTATTAGACTAGTTCCTATGGTATTTTACCTAGTACCTGTGAACGAGAAAAGTGCAAGCGAGCTGGGGGGCCACGTGACATGAGCCTTGCAAGGATAAGCTTGGTTCTGCTTTCCGCATGTTTCCCGATTTTTTTGCCACGGTTGTAGATCAGTGGTTTTCCAGGTACAGACTGCCAGTGTGCATGGTAAAGTCATGCATGACAAACAGCAGAGCTAGAGATGCAGAGCGCTTGCACATAGCCATGAACACGACATACAGTAGCCAGATGATACATGTAAAGTCAGACCTCGCTTATCCGGATCCTGACTGTGTTCGATTATCCGGTTCCCTCGCCTATCCGGATTTTTTGTCTGGAAAACGGATGCGTGCGGCTATGCGAGGTCTGACTATACAACACAGTCGACTGGCTTATCCGGTCATGCCGGGCTGTGCATATCAATCAATGGTCGGCTGGAAGTAAGTTGAAATGATAATCTTGCTGATGGCCTATCGAATAAAATAATAGAAATGTGTGGGAGAACAGCAGGACAATGGTATTCCACGTACATGCACATGCATACGCGCAGGGGACAGAGCGGACTAAGAAACGAGCACAGGAAAAAAAGGGGTTAGGTAAATCGATAATGTGCAACACGAACAAACAGTGGAACGTCACAGGGCACCGGGGCTCTCTCTATCGGTGACGAATGGCATTGAGTGCAGCAGCGGCAGCAGGCATGTACTGTTCCGTACTGTTCAATAGGGTTAAAGCTGCCAGGTGTTGTCCGCTAGCTTCTCAGCCAACCAAGCTAGATAAGGTCGGGGGCTAGAGTAGTAGTAGTAGTACATGTACTTCCAGCAACAGGTGACAATGCCGCGTGTACAGTAGCGGCCAGGTCAGCAGCTTGCGTGCACGTAGCTGCTACACAGGCCGAAACACGGCGACGCACGGAACGATGACCCAGCGCCAGTGGGCAGGTGACAGCGCTATGCCGCACGGGACAGCCGGGTGGCGACGGCGGCGGGGTTGCTGTAGGTGCAAGGAGCTCACTTGTCTGTTTGTTCCGCCGTCGTCGTCGCTGCTGCTGTGGCGGCGGCTGCCACGGGTATGGCGACGGGAACGGTTGGACTGTCGATGGGACCGTGGGCGCGGGCCACCTCGTCACCCAACTCCTCCTCGCCGGCTTCGGCACCGGAACCGGCCACCTGCATGCGATACTTGTACGTGTTCTCGGTCGTCTCTAGGGTACCTGCACATGCACACGCACACACACACCAGATGCAACACACACGCACACACACGCAAACACACACGCAAACACACACACGCACACACACACATACACACACACTTGTACTTGCTCACTGCCAAAACTGGTCACGTGGGTCTCCCCGGGAGAGGGGAGAGAGACTCAAAAGGAATCTTGGAAAGATGACTCAATTGGTTATTGAACCGCCCAACGGCCGACACCCCCTGAAATCCCCAAACTAGGGTGGACTTGGAATGATCCCACTTATGGGCTCACCACACCTCAGTAAGTGGGTGAGGACAAGGTGCAGAAAAAGGATTGACGGCATCAGGGTATCCGTCCGGGGATCCAACTGCAGTTACCCCTGCCCCCAGTGAAGGTAATACTTGCTACTAGTGTGGGTGGCTAAATCAGAGTGGATCTGATATAAGCTTCACTAGCACCATTGATTACACAAGAGTTAATCTAGCCAGAAGCAGTCCATGGTTAACAGGTATGTATACTTCAAATAGAAAGTATATAAACCCTGAAACCAACAAAGGTGGTAGGTACAACAATACACCTTCAAGCAGCCGAGCCTGTTGGCAACAGACCCAACACTATCTGGCATAAGTGTACCCACCAACCGAACTAGCTGGCACACACACACACACACACACACCTTTGACCTTTTGACCTTTGACGCCCATCGCCGGAGGCGATGATAGCAATGCTACGGCAGAAGCCATAGCAACTTGTGCTGGGATTGCACCATTCAACAGCTTGCAAGGCTGAAGAATTGACCGTCACTATTCAGCCTGGTCTACACCATACAGCTATTTGAAGTGACTTTTTCTGGCCAGTGAATCCCTATTTTTGGGATTTTTCTTTTTTCTTTTTTTTCTTTTTTCCCACACACACATCACACCACATACTCCGGCATGCACTGGCTGTTGGTAACCACCCAGGAGAATGAAAGAAAAGTCAGGAAGAGTCTGAGAAAGAGAAGAAAGACGTGTGTGACCATAATCGTCGGGAATCGAACCCGCAACCTATCGATTGGAAATCGCTGCACATACCACTGCACCATATGGGACACACACACACACGCACAAACACACACATTCAGTTACACAGTTGAACATCAATCATCTAAATATCAATTACTGTAAATCAACAACTGTTGGCCGGTGAGAAACCCACAATCTTGAGATAAAACATATGCCAGGCGTCACACTTTGGCCGTTCGAGGCTTTCGAAAAAGGAATCGATCGATTGTTTTCGCTCTCACGTGCAGCCATGGCTCAATCTTACATGACTTGCCTTTACGACAAACTTTGGCCGGCGATTTACTTTGGCGAGTTCAAACCAACAGCGAAATCAGGGAAATTAAATCACACACCAAAATTAATTGATTTACAGTATCCAGCCAAGCGATTACCAGTGCCAGGGATTCAGGGGCAGATTGGGAGTGCAGGCAACTCACGTGTGTGCGAAACGGTGACACTTTATGTTCCCATACACGAAGCGTGCGGCACTTTCGTATGCTATCTACAGCAATTTCCAGTTGAATACTGTGAGGAGGAACGTGACTACATTGTGATACTATAGTGCATCGATTGTGCGGATGATCGATTATCCGGAATGACTGGAATTGCCATCAGCGCATCTTGCAAACCAACAGCCCTACATTGCAGCCAATATCAGGTGAACAGCGTAGTCTGTGCCTGGGTATTTCACAACTACAAGGTACGTTCCGTTGATAGGAAACTCGGTGCAGCCCTCTCTGTCCCACAAATCCCCTATCCCAGGAGGTTTCTCACCGGTCAGCGAGTGACTCAAACCTCCCTCGCATGACACTACAAACTATACAAAAACACACATAGACAGTGGCCTGAGCCATGGATTTACCAAGCTACAAAAACTGTTTGGTCTCAAGATCCGTGTACACGGATAAAAAAAAGGCTGAGTGTAATCGTTGTCGTGACTACTGTAAAACATGTAATTTTGGTGAAACTTTCATTTCGGTGATTTCCGTAGAGAAACCAGGCACCCAAAGGGTTAATTACACCTAAAAGTCACTAGAGTATGCACTGTATGTGAAGGGAACGCTGATCACCTAATTCTACATTACACCTGAAGCCTGGCAGGTCCCTGGCACCGAAATGTTAATGCACCTAAAAATAGAAAGGAAAAGGACATATGGAAACGAGTTAAGAGTAACTCTCCACCACTGTAACTAGATACACAGTCAGAAAGTGCAACAACTAGGCACACAACTGACAGAAGACTGGGACATTCGACGTCCTGACACCTAGCTTCAACACATTTCCGTAGCGATAACCGACAACCTTCCAAGTTGGAAGGTTCAAGGTTATGGAAAGACCAAAGAGGGGAAGGCAAGCGCAGCGAAAACGAGCACAAGCTGCAGTCCCAACGGAACAAAGAATGTTGATTGTTTGACGACGAGACCAGTAGGATATTTGACAAAGCGGTCTAACTACAATTCGAAGCAGCAAAGCAGCACACCACCCAACTTGGGTGAGTCATAAATATCAAAGATAAGTAAAGAAGGGGGAAGCTTTGCGAAAACGAATTGTACAAGCCGAAAGCCAAACTCCTACAGTACTCCTCATGCATGACATTGTGATGGACGAGTGCTATGTCAAATATCCTACTGGTCTCGTCATCGTCCAGTAACAATCGACCTTCTTTGTTCCGTTGGGACTGTAGCTTGTGCTCGTTTTCGTTGCGCTCGTCTTCCCCTCTTTGGTCTTTCCATAAGTTAACCTTCCAAGTTGGAAGGCTGTCGGTTAGTGCTACGGAGATGTGTTGAAGCTAGGTGTCAGGACGTCAACTGTCTCAGTACTCTGTCAGTTTTGTGCCTAGTTGTTGCACTGACTGTATATAGTATCCAGTTACAGTGGTGGAGAGTTACTCTTAACTCGTTTCCACATGTCCTTTTCCTTTCTACTTTTATTATTGGCTCAATACCCAAGTTTCAAATTGCACCTAAAAATGACATTTTTACAGTACATTCTACCTTACCTGACTGCAGGTTGAGGCTGAGACCAGCTGCAGTGGGTGCCGTCTCTTGGGGCATGAACCAGTTGAGCATGCCACCGACGATGGGAACGTGGCGCAGAATACCCTACGGGGAGCACACCGCAACACACACACACACGCACACAAACAACAGTGTGACACACATGGTAAGAAATATGTATGTTCATTATACACAATACTCAATCTGTGGACAGAACTGTTTCGTCTTTTGTGGACTCATCAGCGCAGCACAGAGGAAATGAGGCCGAACCTGATAGCAATGAAAAATAAAATTTCCAAAGCCAGATTTAAACCAGGCCCGAACGTACCTTGCCAGAGTGCTCAAACTGGCAAGTCAGTGAGCTGTGCATAACGCAAACAGCAAAGGCACTACCCCACATCACACGAGAGTGCTCAACTGCTACAAGAGCAGGAGCGAATTACTCATATACATGTATAGGCACATTGCATGACATGCATGTACGACAGGGGGCCAAACTACTTGCTCAGCGACTTTGAGACCGACGCCCAGCGTCTACGAGGTCAGGATGGCGGCGGCATGACAACATAGGTAATGCTAAGCGGGAAATATTCCTAACTCTATCTTAACCCAAGGTACAACGGCGCACACGAGTACGAAATCTAACGAGACAAGCCATGTCTTACCTCTTCCTGCATTTTCTTCTCCGCTGCTTCCTCCAGGTCTCGCTGTGCTGCTTCAATGCCATGTCTGATAACCTCCGACATTGAGTCCAAGTACTGCACCAACAATCAACATTACCAAGAAGTGAGAAAGACGTGAATGCATGCGTGTGCGTGCGTGCGTGCGTGTGTGCGTGTGCGTGCGTGTGTGTGTGTGTGTGTGCGTGTGAGCATGTGTGTGTATGCGCAAGTGCCTGCACGAGTACAAATACTTACCCGGGAGGAATCCTCGAGATTAGTACCGGCCTCAATTATTTCCTCAACAAACGCTGCAACGTTGATGTCCTCCAGCAACTGTACAGACACACACACACACAGAACAAGCATAGGACAAGAGTTAGCAAGAAGCCACCACAAGGAGAATCGAGATAGATAGAATCTGGCCAGCGTGCGCAATGACGCACCGAAAAGAAACTCAGCCAGGTTTTACAGAATCAGGCCAGGTATGCCATGGCAAAATGTATGGATCAGCAGATCCAAAACCAAGAGTGTGATGTGCTGTCGACATGCCAGATTTTTACACGATCGTTTTTCATCAGCAAGTTCTGGCGGCCGCTTGATGACGATATTACAAAATGAAACAGTAGCCAAGCTGCTAAGAAGAAGAATCATGACAAGCGTGGTCTCATGCATGCAAAGCAAAACTGGAGACCCCTGGATGGGCATTCAGGCTTTGGGGAATCATAAAAATATAAGATAAAAAATAAAATAAAATAAGAACAACATTGAGAAGGCCTGCCGGCTTGTCACATGCGCGACACAGGACCGGCGGAAGCAGGTTTCGATTGGTCCGGCCCTGCACTAGCCTTTCATACAGTTTTTGCATGATATGGAGGGTATACCCATGACCTTCTCGGCAGCAAACACACGTTTGGTGGCCAACAAGCTGGTCCGGCCATGGCCTGACCAACCGGAGTGGTTCCGCTGGGCCTGCAACAAGCCGGGGGAAAGCGACTTGCGCAACTCACCCAGCCAATCTCGACAAACACCTGCCCGTCGGAGGTCTGCACGTCGCGCACAAAGCCGTAGGTCGTTGCCAGCGCCGCGGCCAGACCGCTGTTGACGCGGTTGATCTCCGTTATCTCCTCCGTGTTGAACTGACCCTGTGCAGCCGGGCCAATGTAACGAGGTATAAACCTGACGCGCAAAAACACCACACGGAAAAATGACATGAGGAAGTGAAGAGCTGTCCGTAAAAGCAAAAGAAAGGATCAAAAAGGTTCATATGTTGTAGTCCGTAGTTTGTGCACAGTTATAAGCAAGATACTGGTGAGCCAGAACGTGTAATTATATTATTATTATATGCATTTCCGTGTAATAGCCAGCACAATACCGACTGATGTGGTACTAATATTCAACAACCCAGTGAGGTACAAACCTGTTGCAAATTCAAACGGAAAAAGACACGAGGAAAGCGAAGAGCTACCCGACCACCCCTCGACCCCGGTGGACCGGCAGAATGTTTAGAATACACAGCCATCTAGACTACGTCAGTGCATGTACGGTTGCAGTTGTGCTCGAGTGAAAGCCGACCTGGAGTGCACGTCTGGCGCCCTCAAAATGCACGGCCGTTGACCCGGCCCTGAAAGTGGTACGAACGCGACTGGACATCCACATGCACAAGTACAGTGATGTAATCAGAACTGGCCCAGGGAGTCAGGTTTTGCAGGTTGGGGCGGATTTCACTGAGCGCAACTGTACATCAAAAACAGCCATGCACAAAAAGGTAACTTGTCGGTGGTGAGCACGTACCGTAGCGTAGCGAGGCCCGACGTTTCCTGCGCGTTGACCAGCTGCACACACTCGTGATCGCCGGCCAGGCTAAGGAACTGTGGCTGATTGGCGATAGTGCGATTGACTAATGCCTGAATGTGTGCAGGACAGACAACAGAAATAGACAGACAAGGGCAATGCAGAGTGGCTCACAGCTGTTGCTCAGATGAAATGAACAAAAAAACAAAAAATATCCACTACAGTAGTAGCGGGCAGTAAAGAAGTATCACGTGTGTGTGTGTGTGTGTGTGTGTGTGTGTGTGTGTGTGTGTGTTCGTGTGTGTGCGCCCGCGCGCGCGCGTGTGCACGCGCATGTGTGGCGGAGAGAGAGAGAGAGAGAGAGAGAGAGAGAGAGAGAGAGAGAGAGGAGATATAGATAGAGATAGAGAGAAAAGGAAAGACTCTAGGCTTGACTGCCATCTGCAAAAAAAGGCACTTACGATTCTCTTTACTAGGCGACCGCAGAAATTGTGCACATCTTCGAATGATGTCCCGTAAACTGCAAGACCCAAGACGAGGGAGAACACGCAGCATATCCGATAAAATAGAATTCCAAACAGGATCTGACGCTGTGTACAAACAAGGGCACAGTATTCTGAGCAACGGTTCGGAGAAAGATGCGCGGAGAGAAAAAACCCCTAAGACCACGCAGGTACAGCACTGCTCAATGAAATCCAATCGCGCGAGTCAAGTTAGTGCCCTGCACCACTTCACATCCCAGCGTACACAGAACAAGTGCAGAACAAGTGCAGGGCCACACAGCGCCCAGCTCGTAGTAGACTCGTGTGGTCAGATTTCAATGAGCAGCACTGTACACATTGATCAGTACCCGGTTCTGCTGTGATAGCACAAGATATGAGGCGACACACCACCGATTGCCTATCGGCTACACAATTGTCCAGGCATCAGGATCATCACACATAGACACTACACGCAGATATAGCTAGCTAAAGAGAAAGACGAAGAGAAGGAGAAGGAGAGGGAGATAGAGAGAGAGAAAGATAAGAGGAGAAAGAGAGGGAGATTGAAGCTGCCCGCTTACCGGCAGCAGTTTCGAGCGGACTGAAGCGAAGGCACTCGCCGTGTTGCTGTGAGCGTACAATAGACATGGCGATGAAGGGCACGCTGCGCTGTACACTGCGTAGAAGCTACGGTGACACAAGCAATAGGGTGCACAGCACATGCAGGGCGACAGAAAGACAAACAAGAGAAACAACACATCATGGAAAGGGAACGGATCAGTGAGCGCACTGACGCAAAGTGATATAAATCCCAGAACAACGTTGGTCAACCACAGTTGCGGCCAAAGAGACCGGACACGTGAGCCGAAAGCAGTGCCAAGGCTCATGCCACCCCCAGATGGGTCTTCGGACCGTGCATGATGTAATTGAAATGGAAACGCGGCGCTACGTTTGACTCGCGGGTCGGATTTCTGCACGTGAAGAAGACCAGCTGGGGACAGTTCTCCTGCCTTGTGCCTACAACGTATCTCTCTTCCACACACATAGCAGCTCCTCGCTACAACATGTACGTCTTGCCATATCACATTCTTGGTTTCACGCAGAGCAAATACACCCAGTTAAACTTGAAATGCAATGTTACAACTCCCCCACGGTTCACACCAACGACAGATGCAAGCACGGTCCACTGACAAGCGGACAGGCCAGGCAATCACGTGTGAAGAGCAGCAAAGGCAGTTCTAGTAAAAGCATCTCAGACTCTCTATCGGCCACTTACCATGCTGTTGAGGTTGTCGAGGGCGGTTTGCGACAGCTTGCCGATGTGACCTGAAGCAGAGGGGAGCAATGGAGAATATATGCATCACCAAACCTGACAAGTTACAATGCTCACAGATTTGAGAGAGGGGCAGGGGAGAAGGAAAGACGGAGGGGAACATGCGTAGTGGCCACTGACACTAGGAAAACCCAACGAGAAACACACACACACACACACATGTACACACACAAGCTCTGCAGAAGGCAACGGACACATTCACACTCCGTACGACAACATGGTGAAGCAGCCAGAGCACATCTCCGTCAAAGTACCTGAAGGCTTTGCGGCCGACGGCTGTCTCTCTCCCTCCGCGTCTTCGTCGGTTGTTGCCGCAGTGGATGCGGTCGCACTGCTAGTCGGCGTCACCTCACCATTCTGTTTCGGCGTAGCGGGAGCCACTCCGGCGGATGAGTCGGTGGTAGCCGACAGAATGCCTGTGGATTCGACGCTGGCCGCGAGACCAGAGAATTTGAAGATGATGACGTGATTGCAGTGAAGCGGAACATCCTGCACAGGGGAGGCGAAGAAACACACAAAAACGAAACCGAGTTGTTGCTTTCTAGTTTCTACACACTTTCCTTAGCCTATGAAGGGCACATAGATTTTTTCGTTACTGGATTAGAACAATGCATGCTGGAGGCTCCAATACGACATCATACATGTATATTTGTACAAGCAGAAAATTTGCTCGGTGAATAAAATCGTCCAAACTTCAAGAAAAAAAGCAGTTCGTCCAGTCCTTCGATGAAGAAGACGAAATCAAATTCCAAGCAGTCAAGACATGCCGTTTGCAAATGGCAGGAAAACACCCTAACAGATTGGCAGGAAAACACCCTAACAGATTATTAAGTCTGCCGAGACACATTAAACGACAATGAGTTGGGAATGCCCAGGCAGCCACGTTGCACAGATGACCTACCACACATTTCATCTCCGGGATCTTGGAGATCTCCGATGCCAGAAGCTTAGCCTGTGACATTGCATGGACAGGTAGCGAGGACAAGACAGGAAAAGCAAAACATGAGAACAAGAGCACAGGGAATGGAATAAGCTTTGCTGAAGCGGAGCAACAGCTGGGCTTCGCTTCGCAAAGAGCCAAAATGAACAACTCACAACAAACCCTACATATGCTCTGATGGCCAAAGGACAAATGCGCATGGGAGTAATCAAAATCGGAGCAAATTGAAATTCAAGTCCAGTACTAAAGTAAAAAACAAACAGGTTACAACGGTGCCTTTTCAGAACGATCAATCGATGTGGACTACAGTGAGTAGTTTTATTTGTATACTATCGACGACTAGTCACATTGCAGTATGCCTTCTACTCCAGCAGCAAACCCTGGCTGGTTGGCTGAAGGGTGGTCCGATGTATTTTACGCCATTTACTCCACCAGAAAACCCTGGCTGGTTGGCTGAAGGGTGATCCGATCAAAGCCTGACCAGTGGCATTGGCTGCAATATCACACAGCAATCAGTCAATAGTCTACTGCTCTGTACTTACCAGCTCAGTAGCATGGTTGATCATCAGAGACAGCTGACTGCGACCTGGTGGTGCACAATATAATATACACACACACAATGAGTGACAGGGTTGAGGAAGAGAGAGAGAGAGAGAGAGAGAGAGAGAGAGAGAGAGAGAGAGAGAGAGAGAGAGAGAGAGAGAGAGACATACACACAGAAGGAGAGGTGTGAGGTAGAGAGACAGACTGAGAGAGAACTCTCACTACAACCATGCAGTCCAAAAATCCGAGCCGCTTCTAACCAACGTCCATACCAAAGAATTATAACTGCACCGCAGGCAAAGTTTACTGGGTAGTATACGATTCAAGTGATGAAAACTAATCAGTTCTCAGCGAGGCTTGAAATTCTGCGACACATTTCGTTATGGGAGCTTACAATCTAAGTAACAAATTCAAATGCACACTGACAAACTACATTCGAAAGGCTAATTTTACAGCTGCAAGTTGTCCATGAGTTCTTACCAAGATACTGGAATGCCATCCAGATTGATAGCGGCTGTAATGTGAGACTGCTGGGTAGTGATCGCAAGTCTGATGCAAGAGCCTGAGAAAGACACAGGGTAAGCGAGTATGCAACAGTACATAGTAAGTGAATGAGAGTGAGAGGGAACAGGCCAGAGACACATAGATAGATGTGCTCGTGTACTCGTGTGTGTGCGCGTGCGTGCGCGCGCGTGTGTGTGCGTGTGGATGTGAGCAGTAGTGTCAATGTGTCATAGAGTGAATGAGTCAAGAAGCAGAGCACCGGGCAGCCATGCACAGTCGAAAAACGGGATACAAAACAAGAGAAATCGAGTGAATTCTTCAGATGCATGAACACACTCTACAAGTATGTACACACGCATGTACAACACAGCACAGCAGAAACACACCCACCCACACACACACGTGTAACCACACTGAGCACTCACCATTGACGGGTCCGCGGTCTTGTACAGGGTCTACACAGCGCAAACTTCAGTCAAGGAACTCAACATAACGACAATACTCCCCAGCAACTGCTGGCATGCTTGCATTGTCTTGCTCCAAGGACACACACCACACATCCCATTGTATTCCAAGCCTGGCAAATCATTCCACTGGCAACTCATTTGCTATTTTACTATTAGGAGAGTGCTAGGCTTCACTAACAACAGTGCATGTCAGCCATGTGAAGCACAGATACAGAGCAAGCCCGCAGAAATGGACACTCTGCACAAAAATAGCTTCAACGCCTTATTGGCCATGAGCCATCGTGGAAATAGAGAAAAACAACAAGGTACGGCGGTCCAACTTCACCACTATGGCACAGTAGCCCACCCCACGAGTACAGTAGACCAAGGTAGTTGCCTGCCATATAAAACGAACAGAGTGTTTTGGTCCAAAGCAGGACTGTCCTGCTGAGCACAGAACGACTGGATAGCCTGCAAGGTCCTACTGTTATGAGAGAGAGAGAGAGAGAGAGAGAGAGAGAGAGAGACTGACAGAGAGAGAGAGACTGACAGAGAGAGAGAGAGAGAGAGAGAGAGAGAGAGAGAGAGAGAGAGAGAGAGAGAGAGAGAGAGACTGACAGAGAGAGAGGGAGAGACTGACAGAGAGAGAGAGAGAGAGAGAGAGAGAGAGAGAGAGAGACTGACAGAGAGAGAGAGAGAGGGAGAGAGAGAGAGGGAGAGAGAGACTGACAGAGAGAGAGAGAGGGAGGGAGAGAGAGAGAGAGAGGGAGAGAGAGAGAGAGATGTTGGCATACGCGAGGATACACAGAGTGGAGCGCCGGGCAAGCCAAACCAGATTCCCGGTGAAAGTGTCACGCTCTGGCATTTTGAAATCGCCTGAAGAAACAAACGGGTAGATAAACAGACAGGCACACAAAATCACACACCACTACAGCCATGACGGATGGCTTCCTTTGAAGATGATCAGCTTCAGAGTTACAAACCAAGCCGAGTTTCCATTGACCAAGAGCACGGGCTGGAGTTGGCCCAAGACCGTGCCCAAGTGTATCATCCGGATACAGACACATACATCGGCCCGGCGGCAACGGGCCTACCTGCTGCCAAAGAGGTATATGTACACAGTCGTTCAACTGAACATGCCCGGAGCACAAGAAACCAAGTTCTTGATGCGGAGTGCGTTGGCCAGCAGTTTTGCTGCAGACCCTGGCCCAGTGAAGCTTTCCCGAGGCACGCATTGCATGATTCTGAAAGCTATATTCGTTGCGACTGCAGCACGTGACTATAGGTCACTCTTTGCCGGCAGCGGAAAGGCTAACATTCTACAATGTGTGCTACGTTTATCACCAGTGGGGTGCACACAAGAAGAAGCTCAACAGTAGCACCCTATTCTGATTGAATCCACACCCCTGAATAGTCTCTACTACGTCAGTTTAATTCCGCCTAGCAGTACCCCAATGTCATCATGTCACCCGATGCCGTCCCGAGGATATTTGAGGCATTGTGCATCGTAGCCTCCACGAACTGAAGCCATTCGACTCGCGCCTGGGCATGGCAGATGACGTGTGTAGGCTCCGATATTTTATATTCCAGCCCCGGGTTTACCCCCCCTGTAATGAGTCAACACATCATTACCTTCACCGGGTGGGTGTGGGTGGGAAGGTTCTCGGCTGCACCGGTCAGGTCCACGGGTACAGGTGGTTATACATTTCAGCCCCTACGCCCCCCCCCCCCCCTCTCTTGTAAGGAATCGAACGCCTTCACCGGGTGGGTGGGAAGGTTTTCGGCTGCACCAGGCAGGTTCATGGGTACACACAGTACGCTAAGTTTACGTGTGTGGCTGCAACACGCACACACTCCGCATAACATTCCGCACTGCAGTTGGAGCACTGTCTGTAAGGTGAGATGACAGATGACACGAGGGTGCTGCTAAGGTGTTGAAGCTATAACTGGGAGAGATCTGGACGAGAGCTCACCTCTAGACTCGGGTCTTCTGCTCCTGCAAGTCTCAGTGCTGTGCCGTGTCTGTTCAAGTGAATATTAAACACACACACATACACACACCACAAGCAAAGCAAGAGAGAGAATAAGGAAATCAGACCAGACCTCGCTATGAACATCATGATTGTAGCGGTGCACATGAAAAATATTGATGCCATGCGTGGCAATGTGGGACGGTGTGATGCAGTTCACACACGTGCACACCCCCCCCCCCCCCCCCCCTGTCCTGTCCTGTCGACCCACTGCCTTAAAGGTTACGTGGTCCCATTGCGGGAGGAGGGAGAGGAGCAAACACGCCGGTGCCGGGTCAGGTCCCTGGACTGCCGAAATCTCCGAGAGCAGTGCTGACACATTAGTGGAAACTTGGCACGTTCATCCGTTGTTGGGCGGTTCTGGCGAGGTCTACAAGGAGCGGAAGCGGGCTGGCTAGCGATTGAGGCAGGCTGACACCTGTGCACAGCGAGTCCACCCCTGCTACGGTACCATCTCCCACAATCTGCGCATTGACATGCACCACGCGGGCTAGCGATTGAGGCAGGCTGACACCTGTGCACAGCGAGTCCACCCCTGCTACGGTACCATCTCCCACAATCTGCGCATTGACATGCACCACGCTGCTGATGGACTGGCTTGCGACGCTCCGCTGTGCACTTGTGGCGCTTAAGATCACTTGGTCTAGAGCAGACCTTTCCACAGGTGGGGCACTCAACGGGTGCTGCTGCGGCCAGTTCCTTATCCTGGTCTTGGTATCTACATCCACACACACACGCACACACATACACACACGCACTCCCCCCCACACACACGCACCCCCACACTGTCTCAACGCAAAATTAAAGCTCAGCCTCACCCTCTGATGTGCAGCCAGACGTGGTGGTCCTCGCAGAGTTTCTGCAATCGCGTCAGATTGTCAACATGGCCAACAACCGGCGTTCCTGAGTATACAACATATGCACCACAACATACACACAAACAATTCATGGTTCGCGTGAGTGTCCGCATCCATAGGAACGCCACCACCCCCAGGGATCAAGGCGCAGATGCAGCTCCTAAGCGGTGGGAGGTGAGTAGATCAGACCCACCAAAGTGGTCAAAGACCGAAAATACCATTCACTGCACCCATGCTTCCCAACATACAAACATCATCGGAATTACAGTATTCCACCACTGCCACCAGCTGTGTCACGCAGGTCGGTGAAAGAAGCTAATATACTGGAACTACAAGAGCAATCGCATGCATTTGAGGCCAACTAGTGATTCTTGCTGCGCGGTATTAGCAAGAGTACATAACCTCGAAGAGTGTGCACCTGCCTGCACAACCTCTATACAAGTACAGTGCTGCAATGGCAGAACTTCACATCATGTGATATGGTTCAAAAGGCGACGCTGGCCAACAGTGCAACGTGACCACAACTAAAGAGAGTTGAGCCCAAAACAGGGTTGTGAACAACCCTGCATCTATCATGCACAGGGTGCAAATAATGTGTATGGGTTCGTAACGTGACGTGACGTTCTGCCGTCGCAGAGACGCAGACCCCATGGCTGGAGTTGCACACTCTTGAGGTTACGTCCTCTTGACGTCGTGAATGGTGACACAAAACTATCCACAGACTGTCCTGGCGACAATAACAAGTTCAGACAAAACTTCTGACATCACTCTACAACGGCCAGCAGTGGTGGCCACCATTGCTGTTGAACTCACCTGCGGAGGCGATCAGTAGCAGCGGGATGCGCCCGTCGGCCAGGTCCTCCGTCATCTGCCGCTCGAGCTGTGCCACGTCCATCGTGTGCGACGAGCCAAACACGGTGTTGTGTGGCACCACGGAGCAGCAGGATAGGGGAAGTCCCAGTTGCAGGCAGATGTACTGGCAGAAGGCGCTGGCAGAGCCGCCCACATAGATCACGGGCAGACGCTTCAGCGCGATGAAGCCCTCGCGCGCAAAGTTGGGGAACTTGGCGTGCAGCGCGAGGCGTGTGACTGGGCATTGGGGAAACGAAGAAAGCGAGAATCCGCCATATCACAACAAGAAAGAGAGAGAGAGGAGAGAGAGAGGAGAGAGAGCGAGAGGAGAGAGAGAGAATAGAGAGATAGCGGAAGATCCAGGGACCAATAGAGTTGTGTGAATGGTATATGTAGGAGAAGGACAAATACATGCCAGCATTCTCCAACAACGACTGTAAGTCAACAAATATTCGGCGCATATTTATTTTCGGCCTGGGAATATTTGGCCGAAATTCTATTTTGCAAGGTTCAGTGTGACAGTG